AGTAACGCTGTCTGTTAAATAAGTTAGTTAAAGGGTTTAACAAAAATTAACCATGATCGAAATTGATTGCAGGAGGGTTGATATGAAATAACTAACTTTTTGTTATGTGGGTTGTCGTTTATTGGTAGAAGTAGTAAAAGTGTCATTTTTCCGTTGTTTTATTTGAATCTAAAAGTTGAAAGTTGGTTAACAAAGGTAGAAGAGACCAAGAAAGAAAATATACGATTATCTCCACATGCACTTCCGGAACTACGTGAACCCACTTGAAATCGAAGATACAGTAAATAAGACAAAAATGAACAATTTTAGTAGCCGCTTATTGTCAAAGGATGACATAAATAAGTCGAAGTGAACTGGCTACAATCAGGGGTATTTGAAGGTCAGATAAGAGGTCAGGATAATCGTTTTATAATAGATTGTGGTGTGATCTGTTGGTAATGACAGACCGAATCCGCTCATCTAGTTGATGTCCAGTAGAACTTACAAAGTGTACATCATTTCAAGTGGTAAGGAAACCATTCATAACGAAGAATTCAGAAAGAGATACCACAACCATCGCTATTGGCAGGAAAATTTTGACCTAATTGGTTTTACCAATAAAAATGTTTGTGGAAACATTGTGGGCCCATACTCTATCCTAACTGAACTTCGTCTGTACTTACTCAGGACTCAGACGACTTAACGAAACAAACAAATAATGGTGATACTGAAATAATTACAAGTGACGTTTTTGAAAAATTTTTAAGAAATTTTTAAGAAATTTCACAGGTTGAAATCGTGGATGCGCACCGCCGAGGAGTCCCATACTAGGACTAAACGGTCATCCAGTGCTTCCAGTTTTTCCATGGTGGTCTAGCTTCAATCGACTCATGATTTCAACGTTTGATGTAAATCTTAAAATTACAGACAATTCATTTCCCCAGGTGTGATTGTTGTAACTGAACATTTTCACTATCGGAAGTGCCTGCTTATTTCCTATTCGTTTATTGAGCACTATCACTCAATCGTTTTAAGTAATATGAAGGTCATGTTATGACAACTGGCCATTTTTCAACTTTAATGCTGAATGGTTGGGGTTACTGAGGAGACAGATGGTAAGTTCATTTGAACCAAAATTAGTAGACGCGTACATAAAAATGTCAATTTCATCAACAACTAGCTGACATACGATTTTGTTATTTGAAAACATTCGTATACATCATGATTTATATTGTCCCCATGAATCATGAAAACCAGCTGCAAAAGCCATATGTTCTCGACTGTTATGTACTTTATGCCCATTTTATCAGCTTTTGACTTTTTTATGGAGGTGAATTTTCATTCCGCCAATTAACAAGAGCTTATGAAGCAATAATGTCAAATAAATCTAGATACCTAGAACTATTTTCAAGACTTGATGATGTCATTTAGGTTACTCGCTTATAAACGTTATATCAGGCGTTTTGTTAACATAATATAATACGCTAATCCCTTTAGCTCGATTGTAGGGTGTAGGACAACTTACTTAATAGAACTGTTGCGCGTAAATGCGGTCAAATTTTGACCATTTTTTCAAATAACTGTTTAAAACTTTGATTAAACCAAATAAATGAACTACGTTATTCACGGAGGTGACTGGTCTAGATCCTTTATATCAGAAATAACAACATGATTGTAAATTGGGACCAACGTTTGTGTTAGGAAAGCAGTTCTTGTACTTTAAATGTTGTCTGATGATCTTGAAGATACATGTTCACTTATTTAAATTTAACCTAGAGAAAATGATGGATGTAAACCCCATACAAGGTGTTCTTAGGATTGCATGTGAAAAAGCATGCTAATATGCTGATGATTACTTATTCTACTGTCGTGATAGACCAGAATAATTAAGAAACGAGATCTCATCAACAGCTCAATAATTACAGTGATATTTCTGCGCTCTTTTGACTCCATATAAGACGTGTTTAAGTGTCTGCCTGCAAATGTAGTTCAGCCATGTTATTCTTATTCAGGTGTATCAGGCTGTTCGACATGACTCGTATCTAACATAACTTGAATGTAGTACATAGAAGTTATCAACCTGGTTAACTGAAATAAGGTATATTGCACCACACAAAACATTGTTTTACAGTGACATTCCCCTTTTTTCCTCGAAGGACCGGTTGTATGTTGTGGCTAAGCGTACGTTATGGTGGAGCTATTCCTTTTGCTCACGGTTGTACCCGGTCTAACATAAATGGGTTGAAAAAACTATGCATCCTCTTCATTTGTTATAACTAGTATCTTTGTGATTGATCCTAAATGTCTTAAATATTTTCAAGTCTTAAAACATCGGAATTACTCGTGATAAACATGTCTACAGAAAAAACTGACTACCCTAATTTTTTTCATGGGTTTCTAATTTCGAATGCAATGTGATGGTAACTAAATTGGCAAAGTGAATGTCTGCGTCAGTCTGCGACACGGATGCTAACTATATTAGTTTTATAGGACATATGATAAGCTGAGATGGATAATTAATCTATCCATGTCATATCACGTTTCAACCCCCCGTTCTAAGCACCCCTTCTTCCGACTAACCAGCTTTGATATTATGCACTACCGATGTTTCAAATATATTTTCTTTCCTAATAATCCTAAATCTCTGATTTCATTGGCTTTGGAATCATTTTATTTGAGGGGATTTAAACAGTAGTATGATCAAATTCTACGGACCCGATACCTATTCAATACTATCGTCACCATTAACTTTTTATGATCTAAGGTAGATTTTCAACACATTTTTCAATCTTCATGACTCTAGTAACGTTTAGTTCATACAAGCTTTCGAACAAAAGACATAGCATATTAGGCTTCACTGTCTGTACATCAGTTGTCTGATATTCGCTGGATTATAAACCAACTAATACTTCTAAGCTTGATGAGGTCAAAACACGTGGAATCAATTCATCTATAGAACTGTGGTTTACAAAACTCATAGCTTTTCACCGATTCAGTTAGCCGTTTTTGGCTAAAATGCTATGATATTTTCCATTTTAAAATTACTGTGAGTGGCGGATGCAAGTACCAAACTTCAAAACACGACTTATCTCTCATGTTTACAAATAAATTGCTTGACATTTTCTGAAACTAACTGTTCGACAAGATGTAATATAGAAGCCTAATGATAGTCTTCTTCCCGAATTAATAATGTCTCTTAGCTTCCTGAACATTGATAGTGACCAACGAGAAAAAACTTTTCCGGTAGGATAAAAACTGATTTTCACATACTAATAGATCCGTATGACTCAAAACCATTTTGTCGAGATCAAAAGTTACTTGGCTGTGTTTTCTGACCCATGTGGCTTAATAACAAAATTATCACTGTCCCTTTGGACGACATCAATACTTACCTCACGTAAAAGTTAGGATCTTTATTATTCTAAGAGCTTGTTAATCAATCCGTTCTAATGTGATCGGTTGCATTTTTAGACTTTGCTATCTCTATTCAATCTTGAATTGCTGTTGACTTCCTTGTTTCGTTGATCTGTTTTTCTTGGCGTTTTCTTCAGTGTGTGTTGTAGCGAGTTTCTGCTCTTCTGATTAGTTTCAGTAAATAATTGCCTTTAAAAGCAGCTAAGTTACAACTATTTTAATCGAGTATTTAATTTGTGTGGTTTAATTTCATGCATACAATTGTTTCCGAAGTTCTTGTGTTTGTTTGATCAAGTAATAAGTTTAGTAATGGAATTTTGTCTGCTTATTCTCTTCCTTTTGACTTGATCGCCTCAAAAGTATTGTTAACCAACTTGTGCTTGTTCCTTGAACTATTGTCTCTTAGTAATATAAATGTTTCATTTCCATGACGTATTCAGACCTTCAGTTTAATTGTTGATGGAACTATAGCCCCTAGTCTTGCACACCAGTCTTATGATTAACCCTGATATAGGCAAATCGTTTGAATTCCTTAGATTTATTTGTAAATCTTTTCGTCAAATTAGAAATAAATCTCAAGACGCCAATCAATGATTTTAATTGAGCTTGTATATTACATTTATAGATTTTATAAGAGCTTACAGTTGCTGCTGAGTATCTCTGATTCGGTACTGAATCAAGTGGATCTGTAACTCTGAATTTCATCACGATTTCGTTATTGTATTATTGTAGGGATTTGATTTTGGAATTGTGTTGACGAGTTGGTAGAGTGATCGCCTAGTCACATCACATGATCTTCTAACTACAAGACTATAATTATTAGAGGATCCTGAGGACTAATGCTCAACACTTTATTGTAACTACAAGCTTCCATCTCAGAATGCATCTTTTACCCTTAAGAATGATAACATAGGCTACCCTTCTTTAATTAGCCATGTAATGGTGAGAAATCTTCCAATGTCACAACGTTTTAACTGGTATTTGGTCTTAGTAATAACTTGTTAAGCTACCAAGTTATTATATTTACGTTTCCCCATTTTGTGATCCATCACTACCAATATGAACTAATTCGTACCTTTACAAATCACTATGAGATGTAAGAAGTGATCATTTGACCACTTTTGAAGGTTCATTGACGTTTATTTGAGAAAGATGAAAATTGCATAGTGGAAACTGTTCATGAGAATAGTATGATTATTAATAATTTTCCATGACCATTAGGTCCTAGTTTACCTTGTGTTAAACAGTGGGAGTGATATCAGCAATTTGAATTAGTTGATCTAGATGAGGAAACGCTGTCAAGTATGTACAATTCACGAAGTTTCGTTGCGGTGTACTGTTTTTCCCGTTCACGCTAAGTAATTGAATCTTACTTTCATAGATTCGTTTTACTGTTTATCGAAATTCTGCCACCTTGATAATTAAAACATATTTCATTCTAAAACACTAGCTCATTCAAAATTGGCACCAATGAAAAAATACTCAACAGTAAACCAACTACATTTCATCGTATTTTAAAAACTTGATTATCATTCAAAGTTTTGTTTTGTTATAAGACTAACATTTATTTTATTACATTTTTCTCATCTTTATGCATAGAAAATGGTATGTTTACCCATCATAATAATCTTGATGAAGACAAATCACAAGGTGATTCCAAAGATTCGAAAACACCAAACAGTTTGCATTTAAATGATAAACTCGACATCTCAACAAACAATGGTCCTCACGAAACTGAAAGTGTTGATAATTTGGATAATATATCTAGTCCTACACCGAAAGGTGACATAATCAGTCTAGCAGATCTTATAAAAAATCGTATCTGTTTGACAGATTTTGATCCAGAATCTCACTGGCATGATATACATAATAGCATAATTGAAAAAGAGTTTGCCATTGATGGACATAACTTACTTATATGTTATATGTTAAACAAAAATGAATTTAAATTGCAATTTGAAATACCAAGATTTCTATGCAATGAAATTAACTATTTTATTTTCACACCAAATATAAATAAAGAAAAACTAACCGTTGATAATTTTGATTTATGTATACAATATGGTAATATATCTGGTTCAGCTATTCAAAGTTTACTTGGTATTATGTCATCATTATTTGCACCAAATCTATTTACTAATATATCATGGCCAGATAGTATACGTAATGATTTTTCATTACAATTACAACGTTTTATGTCATCATTAACTGATACAAGATGGAAATTAGATAATAAAACTGTATTATATATCCCATTAGATAGTTTAAATGTTTTACCAGAAATAGCTATTAAAGATAAAGAATTAATAAATCGTTTAGAAATGATTATTATACATTGGACAAGACAAATTAAAGCTGTATTAAATATACAAAATATAAATGATCATTCAACTATTATAAGTCCATTAGATGAAATACAATTTTGGCATAATCGTTGTGATGATTTAACTGGTATTAGTAATCAATTAAATAAATCAACTATTCAACAGATTATCAATATTTTATTGATTGCTAAATCTACATATATTACAAATTTTTTAAAGTTAGCAGATGAAATTAAATGGAATACAGAACAAGCCCAAAATAATATTAAATTTTTAGATAAAATTAAAGATATATGTTTACAATTAAATGAATTAAAACCAAAGGATATACCTGATAAATTACCACAACTTATTAATATGATACGTATAATATGGACTAATTCAAAATATTATAATAATAATGAATTAATAACTAATTTATTTAATAAATTATCTAATCAAATAATCATTCGATGTTGTTCTATTATATCATTGCATGATATCTATAATGGAAAAATTATAAGTAGTATATTCAATTTAAATCAATGTATTTATTGTTGTGAACAATATAAAGATATTTATAATAAATTACAATTAATGCATATACATAATTCATTGAAACCATGGGATATACAAAAGAATAGTGTATTTGCACAAATTGATGCATTTATACAAAGATGTCGTGATTTATTAGAAGTAAGATTATGGTTTCTTTTCTTTTTTAAATTAATTTTGTTCATATAATATATGTATAATTAGTATTGTTTAGGTGAATCTTCCTATTGATGTTTAGCATTGCAATTGATTAGTCTCTTATTGGCATATATGAATACTGTGTGTATTGTCACGATATTGCATTAAGTTTCAAACATTCTAGGCAAAGATAGATAGTGGTTAACAGTAAAATTTAAGATGCGCATTCTGTAATATTAGAGACTCGTCAGCTAGATGTATCCGCATTCGCGTTGCTGTTCACTCCGGGTCTTGAACCCAGTACCGTTGATTTCAAACACCATCGCGTTATCCACTTAGTTACTGAGTCTTGATAGCCATCTGCTTGTGCAATAGAGTGAATTTTAAATTCAGTCAGTCAGTCAGTTAGCTGCAACGTAGGACCAGGCACATACATGCATCGGTCCAATGTGCCGCATTTCATTAGCACAGCAGGACGAACACCGGATGTATAGAAGTAGCTACTTCAATGGTGGTAATATATAAAAGAAAGATTACATATAAGGACATAGTACAGGAAGGAGGAATTAGTTCGTAGAATGAAAGATATGAAGCGATTTCACCTTCATGGTTTGAGGGAAGACAGGGTGATTGATTGTGAGCCATGTCACTCAAAGTCTCCAACCATTGGTTACGATAGTCATGTGGACCCCAACGAAGTAGTCTGCATCTATCAACATGGTTAAGACTAGAATTTAATAACTTCAATCAGTGATGTTACTTTTTGGTTTGGCCATCCCTAACCTTCTTCCAACCATTCCAAACACCGGTTAGCATTGCGCGTCGTGGTAATCGGTGTTCTGGCATACGTGACACGTGACCCGACCATCTCAGTCGATGAAGATTCACAACCTCATCAACTGATTTACCGTCTAACCTCACTATTACGTACACGATGATTCCATCAGATGCGAGCAATATTTCTAAGACATCTGTGTAGAAATACTAGTAGCTTACGGATATCTTCTACTTTTAATAATCACATTTCGCGGCCGTAAAATTGTTTTACTTGTATCTTATTGTTATTTAAGATTGCAATTGTCCTGTCTCTTGTTGGCTAGTTTAACTATTTAATTTAAATAGAAAAATATAATGTAAAATTAAATGCTAAAGTATATATGATAACCTTATGAAAATCTACTATAAAGCTACGCTTTATTTCATTTGATAGGTTATACAAAATAAATGTTTCGGAGTTAAATAATGTTGAGTAAATCTTACACGTAACTATGATTTTCCTTTCTGATAATAATGATAATGATGATTCAGTCTTCTGATATAGATTTGAATCGGTATTTAATCCAGTTGTTTGGTTTGATAGAGTAACTTCTTTAGGGTGGCATGTAAGTAATCAATCAATTGAAAGGATTGGCTTATCAATCTTCAGCAAATATTTGACTAGATTATAGACTACCTTCATTTTATCGTGTGATTCAGCATTATAACCATTCTAACCATTCAAACAAATTGTTATGCATGAATATTCAATAAAATGTATCACAATACATGAGAATCGAATGTTTATCACTCCAGCAACTATTAAATAATATGAATCCTACAAAATCACATGAAGAAATAAATTGTCTATTTACATTCTTGGTTATGAACTATGGCTCATTTTCTTTATTACACGAAGCCATCAACTCAATTCTATATTCCTTTTTTTGTATTGGGGAACTGAAGATATAATAAAGCATAGAAAAACAGAGATTTTAACATGTGACAACTAAGCCATTGCACTTCCTAAAAGTATGAAATTCAGATATTCAATATCATGAAAGTTCATTTAACTATATCACCTACAAACCTTTTCTCTGTTTGACAGTCATTGTTTCCCTTGTAGTGCAGCGTTGAGTCGTGATTGTCTATGATCACCACTACAGGAAGACTACGTGCCAGTTAACCGATAACATCCCTCGTAGGTCAAATATCAGAAGGCAATTGATGTCTGTAGTCGAGATGTATTCGTGGGTGATCTCGTGGTATCGAAAGAATACCGAGATCGTGCCAAAGGAGTACAAATGTGGTTACTGAGCGTAACCGAATTCGTGCAAGGTCACAACCAAAGGAAGGAAGAATGTCATTAGTACAGATAAACAAGCAAGTACAGTAAAACAATCACTAGTCCAATTGGTTATAATAATAGTTATTTCCATTAAGCCAATCGCGTTCTCTTGATAAAAATAGGTCACTATACCCTATTCATCTGATTACGCCCGAAGTAAATTAATTTGCTATTTTCAGTGATTCATTAGCTTTACTGCATTTTGTAGAAAAACTTTATTTTCTTTTACATCTATTTAAGGTATGTCAATGTCTAAAACATTTTGGCCGATACGAAGATGGTAATAAAACAACAATGCCAATACTTCAAGGAATTCGTGGCCCAGAAGTTGAAAACCTCCTGTTAACGATTGAACAAATGTTTGAGAAATTGATGAATAACCTATTTGAGAATCGTCATTGTATATTGGATATAAAGGCCACATCATGGCACGACAATTATAATCGTTTTAGAATTGGTATTAAAGATTTAGAGGTGATGATGCAAAATGCAATTAACACAGCCTTTGAAACGGTCACAACTATACAACAAGGTGTCGAAATACTAGATATTTTCGCTCATCTTCGAAGTCGTGAGGTGATTTTTGCTTTTTAGGAAATATATTTCTACCTTGATTATTATTAGATACCTTAATAAATAGACTCTGAAGCAATTGACTAATCCATAACTGAAATCTAGCAAACAGTCTGTACCTAATAATTAAGGCTACCAACAGCATTGGTAATGAAATGTATAAAAAATATCTTCAGACAACTAAGCTATTTTATGCACTCGAATATTCAGTAAGAAGTAAACATAAGTAAACAACACCACCGAAACTCTTCTCCACAAATCCGAATCTTCGTCACCACAATAGGAATGTTGTTAGGCTGAAATTAATGTCAGAATTACTAATTGTGGATGAGAAGTGAACAAGAAGCATGCCTAAATTTCAATATCACTGGATAATTACAGATGGTGAAAATAATAATTATCCAATTCAGTATTCTCATCAGTCTCATAACGCCCCCTAAATTTCAATACAATTCGAACATCTGAAAATACGAAAAATAACATGGTATGCAAACTGAAAACTTAAAATAGCGTAATGATGAAATCGAAATCAAAATCCTGAGAATACCGAATGTAGCGATCTGAAATGCGCGTTTTTTCAAATAATTAGATTGATTTACGTTACTTGGTAAAATCATATAAAACTTTCTGACATTATTACAACCGTACTACTCATTTTTTACTTAGTATCAATTATCCATTCACAATTCGTTTTTTTTCAGAGCTTGATAAACATGTTAAAATGAATGTCTAAATTATAACTTGATCATATCCTGTTTTATAAAGTCTCCTATCTGCATACTGAATATCTGAGGCATTATTGTTCATATGTATTATTTTTTGTAAAAAAAATAATCCCCAACATGGATGATTAAGCTAGTGTTACTCCAAAGACACATCTTGACATGATTAATCCTTACAATAAGCTTATATATAGTGTACTCAAATGAAACATAAGCAACTTATGCTTAGAAATCGAAATTGAACTTTATATTGATTATAACATTAGGCAATTAGAGATCGAAAGCATTTAATTTCTATCCTTTCTAAGAACAGTTCTTTTCAACACTGCCACTTAAAATTTAAAAAATCGAGTACTAGAACTATGTTGACTGATGCCATATACGGCAAGATTACATTCTCAAACTATAAGAGGTGAAGAATATTAGGTTCTAGATTTAGTCCTTGTACCTAATCGAAACTGTGTGAAAGATTTGATGATTACAGCCTATAGTTAGGCATTAACTGTATTAGATACCGGGTCAGTGTTTTTGTGGTTAGGTGATCGTGCGCGAGATTGGTAGGTCCTGGGTTGGAGTCCCGCGAAGCAGAATCGTGGATGCGCACTGCTGAGGAATCCCACAATAGAACGAAACGGTCGTCCAGTGCTTCCAGGTTTTCCATAGTGGTCTAGCTTCAATTGACTCCTGATCTCAACTATTGAAATTAATTAAATAATGTGTTTTTAATTTTCTGCATATAGGAAACGCTGAAATTTATTATTAATTTTCATTTGGTTTACTAATGTGTATTACTTTAAGACTATTCGAAGAACTATTGATCATCGAACAAGTGAATTAGTTTCACGTTTTGGTGATTGTTTAAATCAAATCAAAAAAGAGATGACACAACGTGTTAATACTGGCCTCCCCATACCAACTGAAGCGTATTATAGTGGACAAGCTTTATACTGGAAATTTTTACGTCGCCGATTAGAAAAAGATATGCTGGTTGGTCATATGAATATTTGCACTATTTTTTTTCTTATGGTATTCTAAGGAACAAAATGAATAACTTTTTTTTCGTTTAAAGAATAATTAGTGTATAAAATAGTTGTTTCTGTATGATTTTATACAATCTGATGAATTATTTGAATAGAAACATTTAATTCCTCAATTGTTATAGTTTGGTTACAATCTGTGCAAAATGACTCAGTTGTCTATGCAAATACTAGAACGTCCTAACATCAGTGGTCACCGACCGTAACTCCTCATATTGCATAATAAACTCAAGCCAATGAAACCCAAGAAAGAAGAGTGAAATTAATAATACAAAACTGATTGCTTTGAGAAGATAAAACTAAATATGGAAGTAGAAACATGTATAAATTAACTCATTTGGTTCACATTAGTTGTATTTGAAATAGAAATTTTTTAAATTTGTTTTATGTATTCCCTGTTTGTCTGATAGTGATAATTTTGAAACGTTGAGTAGAGAATGAAAACAAAGCTTCATTGTATGACCTCCTTAAAAATGTAACGATATTTTACGAATTTTTAGTTAGTTCCTTCCACTATCTAACACTTGTTCATTAGACTATGATTTGCAGATGAGTACAAGATAATTAGCCATGTTTATGAAAAGTACCAAGTTAATAGATAATAATCACCTACATTTGTGTTTTTAACACGTCAGTTCTGTTTGTAACAAACTACTTATATCTTTTTTAATAAATATAAACAAAGATTTACATCCATGATACCTCTGCCTTCAAGTAGAATGCTCAAGAAATGCTAAAGAATCGATTACAGTATCATGTATTTATACTGCCTTAATTCCAACTGTGTTACACTATAAATTTGAAAAGTTATAATAATTCATAAATATAGTTTTATTTAATAAATTACTTGATAGAAAGATAAATTCCTGGGGTTGTACTCACGAATTTCAAAATCTTTTTGTTACCAAATGTGTTTATATTGGGAAACCACTTGCTGAATTACTGACGTTTATGTCAGACGATCTATTGAATTTCTTCAGTTTAAACCATTTCATCATCATTAGTACATGAAAATATCAAAATAATCTGATATTTAACTCAGCTATTAAAATATCCTTATGATTTTTCCCGCACTGAATAAGCGTAAGAACCACATAGACTGAATAAATTACTCTATTTATCTGAAAATAATACCTACAGCACATATAATCTCACGGACGGTACGAATAACTAAAGCAATGTAAATGTAAACCTTGTTTGACTCAGAAGTCTCTTTTCGACTTGTTCAAGATCACAATGATAAGCATAGATAAATTATTATCAATATATAAAGACAAAAAAATGTTTATTTCTTTATTTGTTTCCTAGGCTTTAGATCAAGCTTTTTTCTTACCATTATCTGACGCTGGTATGTCAGAATATCGTCAACAATGTACACAACTAACTGATGCACTAGATGATTTAACTAAGAAAATATTTAATGAATTTCAAACAACCATTGAACCAGTAAGTTTAATTTAATCACAGTCAATAAAAAGTAATGATAATAATAGAACTAATTAATCCAATTGTTCTTACATGAATCTTCATTATAACTTTATTTGAGAAAATAATAGCTGTATGGAAACTGAAAAGAGCATAAACTAACATGGATGAGATCCAATCTAGATGATATTCTTTATGAGAAGTAAGAAACGACATCATTCAATTGTTCAACTTAGAAAATTCTCTTCTCACTGTTGTGACTTTAAGTCCGGCTAGTTATCACGTAATTTATTCGCCAAGCAAAATACGACTTATTGGCTCTGGTACTGTACTAAACCAATGACGTTCATCCGGTCTGATCAGCTTAGCGTCTTATTGGCCCGTTGCGCGTCTAGCCCGTCCAGCTGAGTCCAGAATGTCAATAACAGCCTCCACTATGCGAATCATACTTGGTTTATATACTAAACAAACAGACCGCAACGCATCATAAAATAGGAAATAACATTTATATAAAATAAAGCCAAAAAGTGGCTGTGAACCTGGGAGACAGTAATTAATAAACTGAACATAACTTAAGAACAGTAAATCGTTACTTACTTACTTACTTACGCCTGTTACTCCTAATGGAGCATAGGCCGCCGACCAGCATTCTCCAACCCACTCTGTCCTGTAACTTTTTTTCTAGTTCCATCCAATTCTTGTTCATCTTTCTCATGTCTATTTCCATTTCCCGGCGTAATATGTTCTTTGGTCTTCCTCTTTTCCTTTGGCCTCGAGGATTCCATGTGAGGGCTTGTCTTGTGACGCAGTTGAGTGCTTTCCTCAATGTGTGTCCTATCCACTTCCAGCGCTTCTTCCTAATTTCTTCCTCCGCTGGGATCTGGTTTGTTCTTTCCCACAGTACGTTGTTGCTAATAGTGTCCGGTCAACGGATCCGAAGTATTTTGCGTAGACAACTGTTAATAAACACCTGTATTTTCTGGATGATGACTTTCGTAGTTTTCCAGGTTTCTGCCCCATACAGTAGAACTGTATTTGTGACTTGTATTTGTTTGGGTCAGTCTTTCTCATAAAGTCTTTTATTATAAGAGTGCCACTTAGATAACAAGAGTAAAAAGCATGTCTACATATTTTCAAATTTTTTAACAATGTTGTTTGTCTTAAAATTTATGCCATATGATTCAGCTTGAATACTTCTAAGTTCGTATGGTTCTTTCCAAAGTTCCAGAAACATTTTTATCTCTGCAACTAAGTTGAAATAGTTTGTTTTTTGAAAAATTATGATTATTTGAAAGTGGAAAGTCTTAAGTAATCGATTTTGAACTAAGAAATAGATCATAATATTTGAAAAATCCTGAAGTTTAAACTCTATCAGAAGGTTGTCCTGAGGCCCTCCTCACTCTTCCGACAATATCATCTTCTAGCATAGACAATCAGTTATTAGGAAATCAGCAGGAACATGATAAAACATTGTTTATCACCAACATTTTCCTAAATATAACCGGGAAGCAATTCATCAATAATAATATATTGAGGAGTTTTCTGATAGTCGATCATCATAAATGTTTGGTATTTCTTTGAATCATTTTAATATGGTCCTCAATAACTTAGCATAACAAGCAAATTTTAAATAGTCTATTAATTTTCTCTAACCGCCTGTAACACTTTATCGTGTTTGTTTATTGTGAATATTTTATGTATAAGCATACCATTTTATTAAATAAAACACGTACTTTTCTAGGGATTAGTCTTATACTTGATTTATAATCATTTTGGGGGCTAACGTCAATGATAGTTTTGCCTACAGCTATCATATCATTGTTTGTAATTCATTAATTGGCATTCTTTTATTTTGTTTTAAAAATTGTAATTCCATCTCATCAATTACTAAAATCTTATTTCATGACATATTTATTCCCACTAAACTGGCTTCATCAGTTATCTGAGTAAAAAACATCCAAGCCTTTTGTGATAGTAGAACCCTGATAGCATTCTTTTATAAATTCATGTTAATGAGTGATTTTAGGTTGATTCTAGAACACTTTTTTTCAATTAAGACTTGACGTTAGACGTACAACAATTTCGAACATCCACATTTTAATCGAAACAATTAATTTTTAAACATAATCCAGTCAGTCAGTTAGCTGCAACGTAGGACCAGGAACATATATGCATCTATCCAAGTTATCATACCTCATTAGCACAGCAGGACGAACACCGGACTAATAGACGCAGTCGACTCAATGGTGGTAATATATAAAAGAAAGATTACATATAAGGACATAGTACAGGAAGGAGGAATTAGTTCGTAGAATGAAAGATATGAAGCGATTTCACCTTCATGGTTTGAGGGAAGACAGGGAGTGTATACACCAACGCCATTGTGATTGATTGTGAGCCATGTCACTCAAAGTCTCCAACCATTGGTTACGATAGTCATGTGGACCCCAACGAAGTAGTCTGCATCTATCAACATGGTTAAGACTAGAATTTAATAACTTCAATCAGTGATGTTACTTTTTGGTTTGGCCATCCCTAACCTTCTTCCAACCATTCCAAACACCGGTTAGCATTGCGCGTCGTGGTAATCGGTGTTCTGGCATACGTGACACGTGACCCGACCATCTCAGTCGATGAAGATTAATAACCTCATCAACTGATTTACCATCATTCCCTAATACCCTGCGTCTAACCTCACTATTACTTACCCGGTGATCGCAGCAGATGCCAGCAATATTTCTAAGACATCTGTGTAGAAATACTAGTTGCTCACGGATATCTTCTACTCTTAATGGCCACGTTTGGCAGTTGTAAAGAAAATCAGAACGAACGGCTGCACAGTACACTCGTTCTTTAATTGATAGGCGGATATCTCATCGCTATAGGTGATGTAATTTGGCAAAAGCCAAACGAGCTTTTCAAATCCATGCAGAGATTTTGTCGGACACCAACCCATTAGGTCCGATCATACTCTCAAGATAGATGAAGTTGTCAACGCGTTCGACTACTTCACTCCCTATTCTTAGTTCAGAAGTTTACGCAGCTCAATAAATCTAACATTATATTTTTATTTCATTTTATTTATTCATTTCAGGATCCATTGAAATGTCTTGATTTACCTGTATTAACACGTAGTACATTACAATCTGGTATGCTTGAACCAAATTTCAATGGAACAACTCTTAAATTACTTAATGAATTACATTATTGGTCTAGGCTTGGTTTCGAACTACCAACAAATACCAATGAAGCATATCGAAGACGAATAGAATTAAAATATCTCTATGATATCATATTAATCATTGTTCGTGATTATAATCATATCATAAATTCATTAAATAATGATGAACGTGCATTATTTAAAGAACGTATTAAAATGTTAGATATAAAATTAATACCAGGTTTAACAAAATTACATTGGACAGTAAAAGGTTTAGTTGAAATGTTTGTTAATGATTGTCGTATACAAGCAAATAAATTACAATTAAAAGTTGATGAATATAAATTAGCAAATATAAATATTAAAGAAAATTGTGAAGAAATTGCACAAACTTTATTAATTAAATTACAATCAAATCGTATTTATGAAAATACTGAATTTGATGATTGTCAAGTGAGTTATTTTTTTCCTCATTAATATAAAAATAATTTCAACAATTGAAATCATGAGTCCGTTGAAGCTAGGCAACCATGAAAAACCTGGAAGCACTGAACGGCCGTTTCGTCCTAGTATGGGACTCCTCAGCAGTGCGCATCCACGATCCCGCCCCCCGCGAGAATGTGGATGCTCCCTGCTGTGGAGTTCCATACTAGGACGAAATGACCGTCCAGTGCTTCCAGGTTTTTCATGGTTGTTAGCTTCAACGGACTCATGATTTAAACTATTGAAGTTAGTATAATTTCCACAAAACCCCTTCTGATAATAAAAATAAATGTTTACATTAGTGAATAAATCTTGATGTTTATTAAATTTTATATTCATACAATAACTATGAGGGAAATATTCCATGTGTATGTATACCTTATGGATGCTTATACAAAACCTACTTTAATCATTGACTTCATAAAGTATAAAGAAATTGCACTAATTACGTTCCATTAAGATTTAGAGAAAATCATATTTTAAGTAGGAACACGTTTCACTTACTTTGGTATGATAATTCCTCAATGATTGAAAATACCGTATAACATAGCTCAGAATTAATCATATTGATATAGATCCATTCACTCTTTATCTCCTTTGATATTCCTAGTGTCCAAACAACCTCACAGTTTTTATGGACCAAATTCATTGATTCTTTTAAAATAATACTATATCCACTGTTATTTGCTGTCACTAAAGCTGTTAATGATTCTACCATTCACGTTCGTAATTTTATCTCGCTATTTTAGCATGAGGTGGAAACTAGAACCCAAGCGCATGTGCGGCAGGTTTTACGTTACGTTTGACTGAATGATTAACCCTTAAATCCGATTTTGTGCGATAATTATAAACCATTTACAGAAAAAACTCCCTATTCCAATAAACAGGCAATTTTATTGGCTAAATCAGTTTGATTTCAACTATGGTCGTTGCTTTCATCGATATCTTGAGTTATTAATGTTTTTCCTTAAATAAATTCAACTCAGAACTGTAGTTTATTTCATTATTTACGGAAACTTTTATATAACCATTAATAAATTTCAAATAGAAAGCAGACCAATATCAAGGGTAATGCTGATCAGTTTATATAGCCGCTTTAAACTACATTCACATAAGTATCTACAAACTATAACTTAATGACATATATTAAAAATTTATCTATTAATTCCATCGAAATTCAATGAATTATTTTTCTTCGTTGTTCACTTATTTTTAATCAAATGATAACTACATATTCTTCTATGACATTAAGAATAATATCAGATGGGTTTTTGTGGAGATTGTAGTAATTTCAATGGTTAAGATCATGAGTCAGTTGAAGCTAGACCACCATCTGATATTAATCAACATATGCTCACTAGTGACTGGCTTCACGAGGTATATCCTGGAGTTCTAGTGAGAAGTAGTGACCAGTGGAGTCCAACCAGGTCTGTTGTTAGATAGTAACTCACTGAAGACAATGGTGAATGTGTCGCTCAATTTCGTAGATTAGTTGAAGTTAGACATTAACACCGTTGGATGCCGGCTCATCGGTCTAGTGGTTAAGTGCTCGGGCGCGAAACCAGTAGGTCCTGGGTTCGAATCTCGCAGGGGACGAGGTCGTGGATGCGCACTGCTGAGGAGTCCCACAATAGGACGAAACGGCTGTCCAGTGCTTCCAGGTTTTCCATGGTGGTCTAGGTTCAACTGACTCATGATCTTAACCATTGAAATTAAGAATAATAGTCGAGCGGAAAAATATTTCTTCTCAATTAAGATTCTCATCAAGACTGGAGACTAATATATAGGCTATACAATAAAGTATCAGATGGACACTGAATAGATCATGGTGGTTCTATTTAACAATATAATCAGTTAGTAATACAACATAATTCAAATAAAAATCGAGATGAAATTTTCGTAATCAAATGATTATCACAACTAGTTACGTAAGAGTAACATTGGGGATTGAACTTGAACATAAATCTAAATGTTTTATGTTATTTAAAATTAAGAATTGATAACCAATAAAATGGGTACGATAAAGATAACGTAATAGGATTATTCAGCAAATTATGTCATATTAAAATTAGAAAATGTTAACATGATCGAAGTTTGAAAGACTCGAAAAATGTGATAACAACTAAGATAAATGGAGAGACTGTATAAACTTTCCCTTATCTTTTATTTTATATATCATAAGCATGTATTTTTTTCATTTTAGTCTGAGCATAGAAAGGTAACAAAAGAAAAACTTATTGCCATCCATAAAGATATCATAAGAAAGTTGCATGAAGTGAAAGAAACATTTGTTTCTGAAAGTGCCGATATTCAAATGCATTGGTGGAAGTAAGTCCTATTCTTTTTATGTAATAGTTATGTCAACTTTATTGGAATAATATCTCTCCTGTTAAATGTAGTCAACACTCTGGATTTATTACAAACTTAATAAAGATAATTTAATTTAAACTCAAAGAGGTTAGAATGTTTCCACAACTCACTTATCTTGGTAAGAAGATATTAATTTGTATGCACATACAGAAACTTGTTGTGATGATAAACGTTTTGCATTCGGTCTCAGTTTTACTTTAATTTTTACAAATAAATCTGAGTAATTCCTATTGCTTTCCTAGTAGGACAGTCAATCATCTTTGAGATAGTGGAGATGATTTATAGCTTAAGTATATGATTTTGATGAAGTTTTGTTATCTAAGATGGATGGAGCTTTCATCGTCCTTCGGAACACTTCACTTCTACTTGAATTTTGCGCTGATGATGTCGTTCAGAAGAACAATGAAAGCTTCACGACTAAACCCTCCGGCTCAGAGAACAAACTCCATCAAAAAATCAATCCACTTTACACACCAATCATATTGGATTGTGACAAGTTATTATTTTAAAGCTACGTCGGTGATATAACACTGCAATCCTAAACTGTAAATGTTGTTCCTAAATCTTTAATCCACTCATTTTTTGTTTAAGCCACTGGCCTTTCTAACTTTCTAATCTTTATCTAAACAGATTTTCTTCGGTGATCCTCACAGTTGATTTTGTACCGCTAAGTGACAAATGTAGTCTGAACTAGTTTTTTATCCGAAAATCCCTAAAACTCGTTCAAAATGTTAAATGTTTTGGTTATTTCGCTCATATTTAACTTGATAACCGTTGTTAGTCGTTATTTTTCTTTTAAACCTTAGATATACAGAAAAAATGGATCATTTTTGTGAAGAAGCATTCAGAATAAATGTCAAATCATCATTATGTGAATTGCAAAAAGCAATAAACGGTGATGGACGAAATGATCCTAATCCTCTATTCAAAGTATCATTGAATTTAGATAATGATGTTTTAATATTTTCTCCAACACTTGGTCAACTTACACTTGTTGTAGCTTCATTAGGCAGTAAATTCGCAGAAATCATTTCAGTTATTCCTCGCCTACCTGATTTGTTAGCCCAAGCTAAGTCTACGAAACCAGTAAGCTTTTTTTAATATTGTTTGTCGCTTGTTTTGCAGATTTCATCGCTCACCTTGAGCAATACTGATTATAACCCTGAACTAACCTTCAACTTAGTAGCTCATAAATAGATACAGTTTAATTCTGAAATCTACAACTAGAAAAGAATAAGACCTAATTATGCACAACATTCTAACATAGTATATAGATTTCTCAACATCTGTAACCAGTTTTTTATCTTAGTGCCAAAGAACTTCTACGTACCGAACCTCATATTTTTAAATATAGGTCAGTCAACACACACGTACAATCTTGTGAGTACATACTTCTTTCCTATTATGTCGTCGTATTGAAAAAAAATTTAAACCCTTTATATGGCATGCTTTATTACTCAAACAGCCATGTGTACGTTGTGATCATTTGATATTCATTAAATCATAATAGTGGGATGTTTTCTTCTTTGATCAGATAATACTCTCGAAATTAACAATAATGACTATTATTGTAATAATGACAATTAAAACAACGTTATGAAGTTGGCTGAAATCAGATTCTCGATGGCTTTTATCATTTAAAATCATACCATAAATTGTGATGTGAATTGTAGATAGCTGAATGATTATTTTCATCTGTTCTAAATAATGTCCACATTCATATGATACGGTTGTAAAATTATTTATTAGACTGATACTATTATAAGCTTCCAAGAGCACCAGTGCATATTTGCGTATCTTTACCACTTTGGCGTAACCTGAGTACTAACTACAAAAATATGAAAAGACAGTAAAGTTTCGAGAAAACATAATAAAATGGAATGGAAGCTAGTAAACAACATCTCTCAACGAACTGATTTTAATTTAGTTTAAGGTGATCAATTGTATAGTACAACATTTAGCTTTTAAAACAAAATGAATTAGGTTGATTTGTAAATAAATGGTACATATTTGACTTAATTTTTATCTTATTTGGAACTAATTTTAGCCAATAAGTGAAGTTATTGCAACAGATGAAGAAATTAATAAAATACAAGCAAGTATTAAACGTGGAATGCAAGAAATTGGTACAGCAGTTCATGAACCTCTTAGTTATTGGGATCAGTTTAGAGAAATATGGGAATTGCCTAAAGATGATTTTATACAAAGATATCGACAATTAAATCCACACGTTACTTCAATTGATGCTGATATATCTAGGTGATTTTTTATAAAGCTTACTTCTAATCTATATTTATTCGATTTTTAAGTATTTTCTCTAGAATTCTTAGTTCACTATTTACCACAGTGAATTCAGAATACATAAGGTTACATTTCACCTGTCAGTTTTGAAAGAAATACATCTATCATATAAACAATTATTATTTACTCTGATATGAATGTAAGATAATATCATTCGACCTACTCTGATACTGATAGTTGAGACGCTGTTTTTATTTTCAGAACTTGCGCTCGATTATTAAATTACTTCGTACAGTTAAGAAATTACAATATGGATGTAGAGTAGAGCCAGTCATCAAAATTTGATTAAAAGTTCTCACATAATATAAATAATATGAATCACTGATCACTTAAAATTTCTACCTTACCGGTTGTTGGCTTATGAACAGGTAGATTTCTTTGTGCGTTATATTTTCTTACATATCATATGTTCACACCATTGGGTTCCACCTCAGTGATCTAGAAAATAGGCGATCGTGCACGAAACCGAAGTTCCTCGGCTCAAGTCACGCGCTCGAGATTGTGAATGCGTACTGCCGTTGAGTCCCGTATTAGGACGAAACGGCCGTCCGGTACTTTCAGGTTTATTCATGATGGTCTACCTTAGATTGACTCATGAATTCAAAATATTACTAAACATCTATCCTTATATATTTTAATGGAGACATTCTTGCGTACATATTGAGATGTAAAGCTAATTGAAGTATAGAATAAAATGACTCTCTTGGTTTTCATTGATTATGTTTCTAGAGGAATTCATGTAGTGCTATTTTGATTGGTTATATTATAGCAGATTTAAATGAAATAATGTAAGCAATATTTTAATCGCCGAATATTATGATGTAGGATTTTTAAAATTTTGAAGATCCCACAAGATCAATTTATACACTGTGAAGTTTTGATTCGTATTTAAACATTTATCAATTAAAATTAATAGTTGAAATCATGAATCGATCTAAGCTAGACCACCATTGAAAACCTGGAAGCACTAGAAGGCCATTTCGTTCTAATATGGGACTCCTGAGCAGTGCACATCCACGGTCCCACACAGGGCACTCGAATCAAAGACCTTTGGTTTCGCGCGCGAGCGCTTAACCTTTATATCCCTGAGCCAGGATCATGGATATGCACTGCCTAAAAGTCCCATACTAGGACGACACGGCCATCTAGAACTTCCATGTTTTCAATGGTAGTCTAGCTTAGATCAACTCATGAATCCAACTGTTAAAATTACTACAGTCTTCATAAATCTCCATTTTGACAAAATCAGAATTAATTGATATTATCCACAGACTTTATTATAAAATTTGCTACAACTCAACATAGTGTTTAAAAACAGATATCTAGATGCATAAATTACATTACTTACTATTTATCATTTCAGATATACGGAAGTAAGTAATAAAGTCTTAGATGCAGACACTATGGTTACGACAAAGTTTTTACAATTGGACTTTAGTTTATTAAAAAATGCAATAGCTGCTCACTGTCGAGACTGGCAGATGCGTTTAATCAACCTTTTACTTTCAATGACAGAAGATTCATTAAATGGGGTTTATACATATATGAATGATGTTCAAGAAAGGTAAGATTTTATTAAACTTTTTAATTATGATATTATTAATGATAAGTATAAAAAGCCATACAAATGTTTATATAGTTCGTTAATGATTTGTATATCTATATGAAACAGAAGAAGAGTCTTGTATAAATAACATAATAAATGAATCACTAATCAACTACATGAGTAAAGAATGTGGAGTTAAGATTGAGGCTGATAATAGCAATAAAAACGTAGCCAAAGTATACTTGAAGAATATCTATAACTGTTCGATACAAACGGGAAAAAGAATGATTATGGCTATAACCGAATATCAGGTGAAGGACGTGGGATGTAAAATAATCAAACAAATGATTTTTGTATCCATCACTTGGGTTGGAAAATTCTGATGACTTTCCCCCACCATGGTTGTTAAACGAGGATGATAATGAAATGTAGATTTTGAACGGTTGTAAACTTTGCTTTCCAGCACATTACTGTTGTCTGTACTCTTTTTTCTTCGTTCATGCTGTGTCTGTGTTTACTGAAATATTTCATATTTTGCAGTATATTTGTCTATAATAAGTTATGAATGATGAAAAGTATTTGGTCATCAATGAGTTTAAGTGTTGACCTTATACAACGTTTATGCTGACATCTCTACACCGTTATTCCCGTATATATAAAAAGTAACTTATCTTATAATGTTTTTTTTTCGATTGTAACGCTCATGATCCTTGCCGTGGTTATGAAAGGGAAAATGTGATTGTCTACGTGTGTATATATATTCTCTTTTCATCGATGTTTTCCTTTGGTCGAGGTCACCTCGTTCAACGTTATTTGAACTCTTATATCAGTGGTGTTAAAATGATTATAGTTTAAGGTAATGCAGTATCGTATGAAATTCTATAAATGTCGAGTTTTTCACAATGATGATCTGCAAAACGTTTTGCAGTAAACAGTTATGATATCACTTTATAACTGTCTCTGTTAGGTGATAATAAGTACAAGTGACTTAGAAAAGCTTAAGAATTTTAAGAATTTCTCAGTTTACACAGTGGAATAATTCTTAAATAGATAACTGATAATAACCAGGAGGGTTATGTAAACCATTGGATGCTAGATCAGTGATCTTAAGTTTAAGCTCTCGCCTCGAGACCTGAAAATCCTAGATTTTCGCCCCTCTGGGACAAATGCGCACTGTTGACTAATCCCATACTGGAACGAATTAGCTGTCAAATACTTCCTAGTTTTCAATGATTGTCTAATTAAGATCAATCTATGTTGTGAAGTATGGAATTCAACAATCCATATAAACATCCTATTGTGATTTTATTAATAAATAATGTGAACTTATTAATTTTTTCTGTAGAATTCTTCGACCACCATTGAATTTAGATGAACTTGGCGACTCTATCCACCTATTGGAACAAATATTATCTGAGCAAATTGAAATTCAAGCGAAATTTGGACCTTTGGAAGAACAATTCGCTATTCTAGATAAATGTGAAGTAACGTATTCTGATGAAATATCAAATCGTAGAGTAAACTTGGCTAATGATTGGGTACAATTTCAAAGTTCATTAGCTTCAGCTGAAGTGGTAAGGCATTAAATTTTCTGTTATACAAAATACATATACGTACATTTTTAGTTTCTCCTACCATTAAGTGGTGAAAACAATCCATCATTTCAGTAAACGAATTAAATTAATGAGTACAGTTTAATTTACAAGGCTCTCACTGTAACATAACTAATCACACTATTATATTAGTATCTTGAATATAACCGTAGTATGCATTGAATTTTTATTTATTGAATTACTGAATTCATAACTAAGTTAATCAAATATGAAAGCTGTAAAAGAAAGACCACTAACGTTTCCTCTTTTGTAATAGAACATATTTTCTGATATCAGACATCGTTCTTAAAAAAATATATTTACCTCAATTTTGCTACTTTACTGAAAGTTACAATAAATCCTGAAGTTTTCATCATATAAGGTATTAATTCACATGGTATTATTTGGCTTGTATCTTCCCATTGAGGTTTGAGACTTCAAATGATCAGTCTGTTATCGGCATATGTGCATACTGTGCGTATGCCTCGATATTGCCTTAATTCACAAGCTTTTTGTAAGCAATGATTGCACAAGCCAAGTGGCTATCAGGACTCAGTAGCTAAGTGGATAACGCGATGGCGTTTGAAGCGAACAGTACTGGCTTCGAGTCCCAGAGTGAACATCAACACTGCGATGCAGGTACATCTTGCTGACGAGTCCCAAATAGGACGAAACGCGCGTCCTGGATTTCCCTGCCAGCCACTATCCATCATTGCTTATATATAAGGTATTATTTTAAAGACATCCCATCAATATTACCAGTTGTAGAACACTGATCAAAAATATTATTTGTTTATGTCACCATTCATAAAAGCTAAATAAACCAGTTTCACCGAATTTCACAGTATCATAATATCTAAATGATCATCAATAATTTCTCTTTATCATTTATATGTTTAGCAAGACTTCTTGAATGGATAGATGACGTCGGACAGATTGGATGAAAATATGCCTATTTTCCGTTATCACCTAAGATTTCGTTTTACTTAAGTCTTCCGATACTCTGTTTAGATTCACTCAGAAATGTCAGGTTAAACTTATGATTGAATGATAGACAAGCTAATTAAAGTCGGCTAAGATTTGATTGGATTCAACTAATAAAGAGAATTACAAATACGTTTTTCTGGATGATTGCTTATTGTTTAGCTTTTTCTGACAGGTCTAAAATGTTGATAATTGTTACCAACTGTTAACTATTTTTAAGATCTACACTACTGACGAATATTTTTTATCACTTATCATCATCATTTCTGTTTCTCCGATCATTCACCGAGATCATTACAAAATTTGATACTAAATGTGAGGCATTATTTTTTGTACTCATAAGCTCTGATACGTATATATTTTAGAAGGTAGGATAATTACAGAAACAGAAAAATACGAAGAACTTAGGTCCTGGCATAAATATTCATTGATTCAGGTTTCCACAACCATTACTAATAAGGCTGTAAAAATAAGATTTCATCGAACACAGAAAATGAATGTACAGTTATTGTGTTGGTCATTCAACACAAATCAGTCTTTGTATATTGAATTGTATGTTGTTATTTGACAGTTATGGGCTGCAGACATCATTTCACTATCTGTTGTAAAAATTTACAAAGTGCTCTTTCATGACGACGCATTATATCCAATTGACTACATTTGTTATGGCAGTTGCACAGCATGTTTATTTAACACCTCATAAATTGTAATGAATTTCTTTTAACTTTTAAAGTATTAAAACTTTCTAAAAGTTAACTATTGTTATTTTTAATACAAAAGATGATTAAAAAATCCAAAGAGAAATTCAAAGTTGGTTTATTGAATGATACGGAAGAATTTAAACGTGCAGTATCAAATCTTTTACAAGAACTACAAATGAAAGGACCATATGCAGCTAATTTTAAACCACAAGAAGCAATTGATATTATCAACCAATTCTTGGAACAATTAGATAATCTTAAAAGTCGTGAATTAGAACTACGTCAAGGATTAAATTTATTTAAAATAGAACAGCCACCTTTTAAAGAAATTGCGATCATAGAGAAAGTAATTATTATTTCATTAATTAATTATAATTATTATTTTGACCTCAAATTACTTATTTTGATACCTCTACTTGAAACAATGGATTCATTAGTGTAAATCATCTCATTTCAAAATATTTAAAGGAAAAGTAATTAATCAAATTAATCAAAATATTAATCAACATATGCTCACTAGTGATTGGTTTCAAGAGGTATTTCCTGAAGTTCTAGTGAGAAGCAGTGACCAGTGGAGTTCAACCGAGTGTGTTGTGGGATAGTAACTCACTGAAGACAATACTGGATATGTTGCTCAATTTCGTGGATTAGTTTAAGTTAGATATTATTACCGTTGGATGCCGACTCAGTGGTCTAGAGGTTAAGCGTTCGCGCCGAAGACCGATAGGTCGTGGGTTCAAATCTCTCAAGGCCAAGTCATGGATGTGCACAATGCTTTCGGACTTTCCATGGTGGTTTAGCTTCGATTGATTCATGATCTCGACTATTGAAATAACTATAATATCCACAAAATCTCCTTCAAATAAGTATTTGTTCATGGCTTATAACTGTTCACAAAACTTCATATTATAACATATAAAAGACAATCGTTGGATCATTCTAATAAGAATGGACAAGTTGTTATTTACATTTAACTTTTAATCCCACTGAATGTATTGTTAAGATAATTTCTTAAAAAAATAATAGCTAGTAATACTACCCTAAAATCATTAGTAAAGGGAATTCTTAGTTGAATAATAGTGGTAGTGAATTATACTTCATAAAAAGTGCATCATTAATGTTCTGAAACTAATTTCCATAACTGGTTGATATAAATTTTAATTTAACTGAAAACCAATACGTAAATCCTGTTGATTGAATATTGAAGCAAAATTACTTTGTAGTGTATATTCAAAACTCAAGCATAACTTTCTTGATTAGGTAAGCTAAGTGTGGTTACGGCTCCCTGTGAACTCAAAGAAGCGTTGAAAAAGCCGAAAACATTCTATCTGATCATCGTTCGGGAGAATATTCCATAATCTTGACGAGTAACTACACGATTGGGCAAGTGCTAAAACCATTCGATGAGGATTGGATAATGGTATTGATGATTGAGTTTTTACTAAAAACTATAATTACCCAAGTGTTTTGTATTATATATGACTGGTTGAGCTAAGATTTTTTCCACTCGTTTTCCGTCTTCTAACTTGTTACTTGGAGGGTTCAGACATTCGAGTGCTCAAGTTGTATGCGGTATAGAAAAAAACTCAATTTCTGGATATGACTCTAAGAATTTCGGAACTGTTTATATTTTTAATCTACTAACATACATATGCACCCTAAAATTAGTAGTGATAAATTGTGATGTGATATTATTTCATTCATTTTATTACTGGAGGCTCAGTTCAACCTAGTTTAATGCTTTTAACAAGTTCACGGAATGTGTTTAACCGTTAGTAGTCCATTGATCTGACTGTAGCATTAGGTTGTATGAGATTTTTTATACAAATAACTATTTGTAACTTTCTAGACTTCATATCATAATTTTACATCACAAGTACCAACTAGACACATTCATTTTCAAATGTTTACACCCCTTAAGGATTTAGATATATTGAGCACTATTTGGACTACAAACATGGAGTGGGAAAATAACTGGGAAAGTTGGAAGGCTGGACGATTTTATGATCTACAAACAAATGAAATGGAAAACTTGGCTAATGCACAATTTCGTAAATTTACCAAATGGGCACGTGATTTGAAAGTTAGTTGTATGTATGATGTTGAATTAATACCGGGAATTTTTCAGTATATAATCACCATATTTGGTATTCATGATTGCACTGATTTTGTCATTTACAATTTGTATTCACATCGGGTGCCAAGATGTTGATCGTGTGCAAGAAACTGATAACAGCATTGTAATAAGTTACACGTTCATTATCGTAGGAGAAATCAGTTGCATAACGAAATGTCCAACTGACATTTTCCTTAGCCTTTTCACAACATAAACAAAATAAGAAGAGACCCCATATTTGATAACCTGTCGAATTCATACGTTTTCGTATACCTTACGAAATATCTAGATAGCCAATATATTCTGGTTGAAAGCAACTAGAGTTCATTCATTATATGTTGATTGAAAAGCGTTATCCACTAGGTTTTTTGAAGAAATAATGGACAGTGAAATAGTGAAATCGGCGGTTAAAGAGAAAACCTTCCTGAAGCTACAATTCGATGGACATATAGCTAGTCATATACTACTGTAATGAACGAACGCTCAATTGCGAATAAACAAATTATTGCTCGACACAAAATTATAGAGAGGTTTTTCATAAAATGTGAAAACCATACATTCAGAACTGCATTTGTAAATCCTCCATCAATTGCCTCAAACTTCATCGTTCCTTCCTTGTTATTACAATTACTCTCTGTTTTCATTCTCTTCGGTTCGATCTCCCCAACCTTGTGCTGTCTGTCGACATAAGTAACATACTCCACACTATAAGTTAGATTAACTAAAGTAATGAAAAGGGTTTTCAGTGCAGCTAACCTCGATTTATCGTTTACTATATAATTATTATCACCTACCATATTCCTTATTTCTCTTCACTCTGTTTTCTCAAATATACGCTTCACTGACCCATTATCTGAACACTTCTTATTACGTAATTTTATAATTTTTAATGAATGTCATTTCAGTGTCCATTTTTTCATGTTGTTAACATAAGTCCTATTATAAAACATTGATTCAAGCCTTTTATATCCGTTTCACAACTACTACACCAGTCATTACACTATTAATTTGTACTTTTTATTTACTATTTAATTATATAACCTATTTCACTATTATCACTGACTCACAAATTTCATTGATTGGTTTAACAATTTTATATATGTATATAAAGATTGTTGTACATTAGAATAAAGCCTGATGAGGATCTAATTGAAGATAGTATTATTAGTTATATATGTTCTAATTATGTACTCTTTACTTCATTTCTCTCCCACTTGTGACCTGATTGTGATTGAAGTATAATTTCGTTTTTAGTGTTCTGTATGATCAGAGATAAATCTCTGTATGTGTTTTCATTCAAAGTTGGATTGAGTACAATGGAGATCTAATCCACTTATCATCTGGGTTTTCCTATTGGTTACTGGGTTAGAATGGGTTGGAGGACCAACAAGCTTTAAGGCTTTGGTTTTGGTTCATTTGTAAATTCGTGAAATAGAAGGTCATCAGTTTTACGGATCATATAAGTAAATTAATCCGTGATAATATTAGACTTCAATCAATTCACGATATTTTACAATAATCATTCGTCGCTTGCAGTGGATAACTGTCTTACACTCGACACAGATGAAAAATACAACTTAATGTCATTTTGCTAAGAATTTCAATTTTTTAACAAATTACAATCAGTAAACTGTATTTCTGATCATCCAGCTTATTGAGAATAACTATCAGTCAGGCTCAATTATCCGTATGTTTTATATTTATTCTAGTGATTAAAACTATTATGCATCGTTCAAACAAGTGTCACGATATCCAAAGGCGTTAACAAAAGTAGGTATGCTATCATCATAATTTTCGAATCTGTTATGACTCCTTATTGACATAATGAGCTAAAAGAATGAAAATGGTGAACATTATACAAAATAATATACTGTTCACACTGATGATTCATTATATAGAGGATGTTTAGATAATCTTCCAGCTGATTGAAAGCATTAGTATTATCTCATTCTTTTCACAATTTCGTATAACATTTTTATTTCTTTGTTTAAAAAAACAGGATAGAAATTGGGAAATTATTGAAGTTAGTAGAAAAAAAGTTGATCAGTTTCGTCGTACATTACCATTGATCACGGATTTACGTAATTCAGCTATGCGTACAAGACATTGGGATAAGATTAAAGAAGAAATGAATACACAATTCAATGTAGATTCTGATGAATTTACATTAGAATGTATAGTAGAATTAGGATTTGAACAATATTCTGATTTAATCAGTGAAATATCCGGTGCAGCAACTAAAGAATTAGCTATTGAAAAAGCCCTTGATACAATGGAACGTTTTTGGCAAAATAATGAACTTGATATGATATCATACAAAGATAAAAGTATTTATAAGATTAGATCTACAGATGAAATATTTGAAGCATTAGAAGATAATCAAGTATGTGTATTCACTGATTGGTTATCTAATCATTTTTATATCAGTAACTGATAGTGGTTTTATGTAAAGTTAGATTCTATCTATTGAAGTTTATGTACTATATGATGTGTAAATGTAAACAATTGTCTAGTTAATTTACCTTAAACGTTTCTCATTTTTAAACAAATTAACTTTGACAAACCTGAACTGAAATGTAAAACAAAAGATTTAAAGGATTAATATAACCAAAAAAAGAAAAAAACCCTATGTGTATCAGGTTCATTTGAAGTATTTATTGAAATCATGATAACCAACAGTGATTGTGGATCATAATGTATTACTAGAATTGATTTGGAATGAAAATGTGGATCATTGAATTCTACCAAAATTGATAAAGTGAAAATTCACTGCAAGAATTAAAAAACTTAGGATTTGATTCTGTGTAGGTCAAAAGTTCAAAACTGGAAAAATAATGATTATCTGATTATTAATGATGATCATAATTGTTCAACAGTTATTTGTAAGTTGCACATTCATAAGGAGACTAATTTCAGGCTGTTCAAAATCTCCATAAACGCTGTTTTAAGGGTTAAAATTGTTCCCATTGTTTGAACAAATGTTTTTTTTATAAATTATATTAAGGCATAGACACTAAAGCTCACTGAGGCTACAACTGTCGTTAAACTATATCAATGGGCAGTATTCGTTGAATTAAAGGTGAAAGCAATTATCGTAAACTGTTATTTAAATGCTTAATCCAATATAAAATCAATCTTTCAAGTGTTTTTATTTGGTAAATAATAACGTTGACTGAACTGTCTAAAAAACAGATTGTCTTAAAAGAAATACTGTAACTTTGAGTCAATATTCACGTTTTATTCTTTGAAATTTAGATAACCTTACTTCGTTTCCTTCTGTCTGATCTTTTCAAAATGTTTTTAAACTTAACCCAATGATTTTCCTTAATTTTGACACTGAGAAATGTAGATACGGTAGATTGTATTTGTAAATCAAACAAACTTTACATAAAGTAACAGAGATTTACTTTATTTGTAGGATATATTCATCATAGATTTACCCCAACTAAGGTATCTTTGGATAACATAGAGGACTAGATTTCTGTTCTGTTTTAGCGTAAGATTACCCAAGAATGTGTACCTACGACCCCACAAGAACCGAACCCAGGGCCTTCGTGTCACTCACCAAATGCTTAATGTTTTTAAGGATGTTCGTTTGCTTTAGTGAGACTTCATGACTGGTGAAGTACAAACATGTTGCAAGTGAAACATTTATCACCAATAATACTTGGTGATAAATGCGCTGCGTCGTGAATTGAGTGGTAGTAGAACTGTACTATTTGGTTCCTACATAATTGTTCCAATGATTAGGTGTTCGACACGAATTCAAAAGATCATTGATGGGTTCGTGTGCGTGAACTCCTGAGGAGTCCCATACTAATAAGAAACGACTGCTTAGGAATCTCATTCCTTCAATGGTACTCTAACTGAGACCAATCTGTGACAAATACAATTTAGAAATTTTACTTTAATTGGTTCTAGAAAATACATTAACTATGGGTGTTCATTGCCTTAAGAAAACTCAAACTAGAACGAAACATTTGTTCAGTATTACCTGGTTTGTTGTGAAAATTACTTCCGGATCAAAATGTCATTATTTTTTTAAAATTAATGATCTGATACTTTTTCCAGGTTCAGTTGTCAACAATGAAAACATCGCGATTTGTCAAACCATTTGAACATCTTGTTGATAATTGGGAACGTGTACTTTCATTAATTACAGAAACTATTGAAGCTTTATTAACTGTACAAAGGCAATATATGTATATGGAAACTATATTTCTTGGTGAAGATATTCGTAAACAATTACCAAAAGAATCTGTATCATTTGATATGATCAATACACAATGGCAATCGATCACAACATATTTATATGAAACACGTAATACAAGAACATGTGCAAGTAAACCAGGTTAGAATTTCGACTTAATCTGTCAGTGATTTAGCTAATACTGAATAGTACATGCACTAAGATATACAACAATGAGTTGAATAGTATATTGAATTTATGATATGCTGTATTTACAGATTCTCTTTCCTAAAATTACGGTAGGGTTGATCAACTAGTGAGCATTTCAAGTAAATTTATCCTATTCTGAACTTCGTATATTAACTTAAATTCATTCATATATATGAAGCTTAAGAGTTGATTTCCCAGATAGATAGACAAACACACTCTTAATATAGTGCCTGGTACGGTTATTCATTGGCCCAACTGATAATTGATTAGCACAACCACATGATTATAACAATAATAATAGAAATACTAAACCGTGGGACTATTATTTGACATGATACCTAAGAAGAGATATTGCAATTCAAGATTAAGAGAAAGATAAAGAATGAATGCATCTAGGTTACTATGAAAAATTCTAAGCCATGTCGTCTAAAACATAATATTACTTCACAAAACCATTGGTTATTAATTCAAATTGTTATAAACTGTGATTGTTTCATCACAAATAATCCTTAATAGATTATAAATACTATATATTTGTTTTGGACTTAATTATAATTACAATCAGTGCCGAAGGTGCATTTACTTTTAATCATACATCTACGACTTAGAAAGTTTGTTGTTTTTCTATTTTATTCATCTTTCCATCATTGTCACCTCTGCCAATTTTCTCGACCTCCGCTTTCTCCATGCTGTTCTGAAATGTCATATTGTAAATTAGAACGATATTGTACCAAATATTTCAAATCCCAATAAATTCCTCACTAGATATATAAACACTGAGCATCACTACTATGTACTTAAATTAATTTGAAATTTCACAATACAAGTATTGTTAACTATTATTATTATTATTATGCACAAAGAACGTCTAATTCCCACTTAAAGTACCAAAATAAAAACACCAAGTTCAGAGGAATGATATCTTTCCAGCAAATTTGTTATTAAGTTGTACAACCGTGTACGACGTGTTTCTATTCACAGAGGTTGAGAATTTCAGAAATAATTTCACAAGTAAATATCATTGATATTATTTAGAGGCTTAAATGATTCTCCATTTTACCATAATATCGACCAGAAAGTATTATTTGATTCACAATGATGATGAGTCTCCATAGAGCATTGTAATCAGTTGATGAACCGTTGAAACTGGGATTCACTTGCATTGATAATCCCCATAAACAAACAAGATATTGATAGTTGCATTCATGAGTCAATTAAAGTTAGACCACCATGAAAACCTAGAAGTAATGGACGGCTGTTTTTTCCTTGTGTGGGACTCATCAACAGTACACATCCACAAACCTACTTGCGGGATTCGAAACCAGGACCTTCAATCTGACGTGCAGGCGCTTAACTTCTAGACCACTAAGTTGGCACTCAATGGTGTCTAACGTCAACCAATCTACGAAATGGCCGTCCAGTGCTTCCAGGTTTTCCATGGTGATCTAGTTTTAGTTGACTCATGAATTCGACTATTAAAATTACTACGATCTCCACAAAACCCGTTTCTAATAATAAACATGATACTTTTTTTTCTTTACACATGAACTATTTTAAAACGTTCGTTTTTTGCTCCTTGTCTTTATGTAACTATTGATCGATTAACGTTTCAATCTCTTTGTAAGTGAGATTATTACTTATTATTTAATCATTTGAACTTCTGGTTTTAACCAAACCTGCACATATTTTGACAAGATCCAATTAAAAGGATAATTCAAATATGGTATTTATTAAATAAAAATAACTTTTATTCACTAGATTGCTATTTCATTTCAATTGAATTTTATCCAACAATACATATACGGGATAAGATAAAACAATCATTAATGTTGAGTTTACCAATTCAATATTATGATCCTTTTTTCATCAGGTTTATTGGATCAAATCAATAAACTTGTACAAAGTTTAGAAGAAATACAACAATCATTAGATATGTATTTAGAGACAAAACGTCAAATATTTCCTCGGTTCTATTTTATATCAAATGATGATTTACTCGAAGTATTAGGACAAGGTAGAAATCCCGAAGCTGTTATGCCACACCTGAAAAAATGTTTCGACAATATTACTCTCTTGAGATTAGAAAAGGTAAGTGAAAATAAACCGACCGCTATATAATCTGGTTTTCACAGTATTAGTTAGTTGTATATTATGCTGGCCATGTATCTGACTCCAGTTAAATATTATGCTGATTGTTATCGAAATATACATGCCGCCAATTCTTGTATGTTTTTATCAACTTAATTCGCGTCAGAGAATAACGGGATAAAATAAGCCAAATAGGAGAATGAATGTTGAATACGTATATTTCATACAATCATAGATCCAGACAGACAATCCGAGAAATGAAGGTATGCGCGATGTAGAAGTCATGTGAACCAACTCGTTTCGATCAAGCGTGACTCAATATTTATAGTCAGACCAAAAATAAATTACTGACACTTAATGAATCAAAAAAGCAATTAACAGACATGCGACCATAAAAAAACAGTCTGGATTAACAAGCGAATAATCAACAAGGTGGAAATATGGCTTGAGAAGAATGAATAGATTGGTCTGTTTAAAGGCTACACAACCTATATGAGCTTGACATAGTACCTGCCAACACAATATCTTATGGATGAAAAGAAGTGACCAACCTATATTTTATATTTTTCTGACTGATACTTATTTTTCCTCTCTAACATAACGGTGTTCATTATTGAGGATTTTTACTCAAAGACAATTGACTGCACAAAGTCACGTTAAGTTAGATAACAGTGTAATTACATTCTGGTAACTTGATTGGATGAAGATGTCAGCACCACATTATTGGAATTCAGTGCGGAAATTTTAATAAGTTAACTTTTGCAAATCACAACTACAGATTCGATTACTAGAAAGCCAAAGAAACTTTATAGAAGTCATATGAGTTGCTGAATAACGAAGTTCAAATTAACTAATAAGGATAGCAATTAGGCCAACTACTTTTAGTTGTTTTTAAAGGCTTTAACTTATTGTTGCCGACCACGGATTTCAGCTTTTCATAATCACATTCAGGTAGTTAAAATGATGAATAGATAGCTAATTGACTGATAGTTCTAAACTATACAACTTGTTGTCTCGCTTACATGGATTAATTCTGAACAGGCCTTAGTCAAGTGATAATACAATTTAATAAACAAGTGACGAAGAAATTAGATCTGATCACGATTCACAAACATAACACGTTAACTGAAGTAGAAGACAAAATATACACAACTAGAACATGGATTCAGAATGAATTATTGATTTTGGCAGGAGAAAAGTCAATATCATGCAGATATTGATTTTACCCGTAAATATTCTTACAATCGTATATTGGCATCGTTTGTAGGAATGCGAATTTAATTTACCAGTCACTTTCTTTGAATTTTATTTTTATTTCTTATATTCAGACAAATTTCCTAGTATATAATGCCTTATCAATGTTTTCATTGGATGGTGAAGAAGTGCCATTCAAAAATAAAGTTCGCCTTGATGGTCCTGTAGAATCATGGTTAGGCGATATTGAAGAACAAATGTATAAAACATTAAAGGATATGTTAAGAGATTGTAGAATTGCTTTAAAGAAAGCAGCAAACAAGCGTGATAAATTTATTAAAGAATGGCCAGGGCAGTTATGTATTACATCAAGTCAAATTCAATGGACAGCTGATGTTACAAGAGCATTACAGTTGGTAAGAAATAAAGTTGGTACTGTATTTATTTGAACCGTTTTGACTGGATTTTGGCAAATTTGGGTGTATATATGTAAATAGAGACTGATCAATTGTATTCCACAATATTGACAAACAGAAGATCCAAACCGTTCAACAAACTTTGATTGTATCCTTCCCTTTGAAACAGTTAGTCCCTTTGATATATTCGGCCAATGTGATGAGAAGATAAAGGTTATCAGAATTATGTGATATATTTTCTCAATACATTTCGAACAACCTAATCACATATACTTGTTGAGACATTATATATGAAAAATAAAAGGTCATCTAAATAAATTAATGGTTAAAAGGAAAGATGATAATAAAGTACACATAGACTGTGAAAACCACTTTGTATAATAAATTCGCATTATCAGGGAAGGTTAAGGGTTAGAAAAAACTGTTTTTGGATATATAAGGAGGTCTCGTTTTTTTGTATAGCCAAGACTTCAATAAACCTTAGTATGTGTCCTCGAAAGCTATCGTATAAAACTCCAAAGGATGACTTCATGTCAACTTTATGACCGGTCTCAACCAAATGTTTTGCACTGTAGGAAGATATTTGTCTATCTTGTGATCTTATTTGACCATTGGGATTCATTTGTTTTTACAACCATTTGGGTATGTGTTCAGCCACCCTTACATGCTTGACTTTTCGATAATGATGAGTTGGGCTGTATAAAAAGTCTTATTGATAGCTAATTTAATCGTTTGTTTCAACATGAGATTTTGAGTCACTTCTCGCTTGTAATGTTATGTAGACTCGCTTTTTGGGTACCAGAAGCGTCATATGTCTTATCATATTACTACCTTTCCAACAGTTTATAAATATCAATGAATAACGTTATTTATTAATGTTTCAGTTGAGAGCTTCGTGTCTCCTTCGATAGAATCGCTAGTACAAAAACGATTGGTTCTATTGAATAAGCCTTTTATTAATCTGTGTTTGTACTGGATTGAATAGAGACAATGGAAACAAAGATATTGCTCTGTCCATGTCGGCGTTCTATGCAAGTAAAGTCTCATCTACTAATTAGTATGTCTAGAAAAGGGAACTGATTATTTAGCTTTTCTTTGCATGTAAGAGAAATGGTTTTTAACTTGTGTTAAGTTATTTTAACAAGCGGTCATATCTTCACGTTTGTCACCTATTTCTATGATGTCATCCACGTGCTGCCGATACAAACACATCTTTTGAATTGAGTCTGCAACCAGATTTTCCACATACCTCATAAACAAATCAGCCAATAATGGTCCTAAAAGACTTACCCTCGAAAATGAAATTCGCATTGTCAGTATGTAATAATAAATCGTTAAGTGTCTTTACTGGCCTTATTTACAATATCTTACTAATTAACCGTTGTCAACCTACCAAAGAAAACATGTTTCCTTGTTCATTTATTAAATAGGACATAGTTAATTCAGTGTTCCATAATATATGTTTATGAGTATTGTTGTGACTATATATTGAACTTGGTAATGATAAATATGTTTCTAAAAATAATTTCTTATATAAACAGGTATCAAATAGACAAGACAAAAGACCATTGAAATCATTAAAACATAAACAAAAGAATCTTTTAGAAAAATTTTCAGAAATAATTCGTTCAAATTTAACAAAAATTCAACGTTTAAAAATTAATGCCCTCGCTGTTATTGAAGTTCATCAACGTGATATTATTGACAAACTTTATAAAATAGGCTGTAATGATATAAATGCTTTTGATTGGTTAAGTCAACTTCGATTTTATTGGGAAAAGGTAGGTTGAAATCAAGTTATTAACTTTTACATAAATAAAATAATTTTATCAGAATGGGTTTTGTGGATATTATAGCAATTTTACTAGTTAAAATTATGAGTCAATTGAGGCTAAACCACCATGGAAAACCTGGAAGCGTTGAATGACCGTTTCGTCCTATTATGAGACTCCTCAGTAGTAGAGTTCTAGTGAGAAGCCGTTACCAGTGGAGTTCAACCAGGTCTGTTGTGAGATAGGAACTCACTGAAGACAATGGTGTACGGTGGCGCAACTTCGTGGATTGGTTGAAGTTAGACATTAACACCGTCGGATGCCGGCTCATCGGTCTAGTGGTTAAGTGCTCGGGCGCGAAGCCAGTAGGTTCTGGGTTCGAGCCTCGGGATCGTGGATGCGCACTGCTGAGGAGTCCCATACTAGGACGAAATGGCCGTCCAGTGCTTCCAGGTTTTCAATGGTGGTCTAGCTTCAACTGACTCATGATTTCAATCTGTAAAGTAATTTTAGCGTCAAAAGTTCAATTGATATATCATAAGAATGATAAATTATACTGATATTGTATAGTTATTTCTTTATCAAATCTTTATGATTATGAAAGAGATGACCGATTCAGCAATATGATAACTTTCTCTATATTCTAATATTTGGCTTTATGTTCAAAATACGAAAATATGCAGCATAAATGTTTGTTTATTGTGAGAAGTTACAAAGTATTTACATAATACATAACATTCAATCATCTATTTGCATCTTTCGGTGCATTCTGCAGTCTGAACTGTCTTCTCCTCTGGTCTTCGAGTGTTCACCTAACACCGTGTTTTGGATGCACTGAAACTCTTCACTCCGTCAGACAACTGTTGTAGCTTCTACGTCACTTTCCGCTACCCACTGCCTATAAACAGTCTAGTGATTAGTGTCTAATACACTTAGCTCATTATAATGTTGTAATCTTTCAAGTGCTTGCTGAGCTGTTGAGCTCTCTAAACCAATCATCTTTTCAACAAATTTATAAGTTATAGTGTCTATTTGTCAATAATTTGGATAGAGATGTTCAATTACACTATTGAAAATATATCTTACTTAACCACCAGATATTCAGCAGTAGATTAAAGGGTATGAAATTTCAAACATCTTATTATGAAAATATAGTAATTAAAGGATTGTTAATTGTGTTTGTAATTTTTTAAAGACAATTCATTTATAACCTGATTCAATGAACGTTCAAAAAATTTAACTATCGGATCTTAATGTAATCAGTCGTTCGTGTGATGGTCACTCAGGGGTTCAAAGGTTCCCAACATAATTATGGAATATCAGTCCATCAGCTAGAACGTAGACCCAGGCACATATGTGCATCGGTCCAAGTTGTCATACCTCATTAGCACAACAAGATGAACACCGATTCATAGAAGTAGTTAATTCAGTGGCGGTAATATATAAAAGAAAGATTGCATATAAGGACATAATACAGGATGAAGGATTTAGTTTGTAGAAAGAAATATATGAAGCGATCTTAATCTCACAGCTTAAGGGAAGACCCTAAATTATAGAAGATATTTAGGGTGTAAGCTATTACATAGAAGTAAACTAACATTATAAACTTTTTCAGTACTCTATAGCTTTCAGTAGTTATCCAAGCACCGTCAGTGTAACACGACCATAGGATATTTCAACAAGTTATCTACTTTTGCTTGTTTTAACACATCATTATGCTTATTGATCGCACAACCTATGAAGGTGCTTTTATTAAAAGTTTACAACCTTCCGTTGTACAATTTACAAAAAAGATATCATGTTTGTTGGCAATATGCATGTAAAAGAAGGAACATTATTCAGATGTCGATTCATAGACTGCTAACTTCCAGCTGGCGACCACTCAACATATGTCGTCAGAACCGACCAAGAAGTAAGAAATGGAAACTTGTTGAAATACTTTGTGCTGAGAATTCAATATTTTACCAAAAATATAATAATAAATAAAGCTAATAATAATAGCGAATCATACATTCAGTTTGATTGTGAAATATAGTCCAGAATAATTACTTTCGAAAGCTAAACAATTCCACTTTGAACAGCAACTAAATACATAAGCCATTAAGGTTAGGTTTTTTATTATTTGTCCTGAAATTTTGATCACGTTACTGAGGTACGAAATAAATGAACTTTAAAACATCCATTTTCATTTATGACTCTCCACTGGAGGTTTGGAAGCACGTCGTTTTATTGGTCAAAAAGTTCACGAGACGAAGGTTGTGCGTAAGGGTTGAGTCGAACAAATTTCATGTTGTTCCTCAAGAAAAATCCACTAGCTCTTTTACTGTGGTTGTCGAGAGATTAATAAGCCATGGAAATCTTCCATTAGAACATCAGAAGGTCGAATAAATGATTGAAAACATTGTTTTACTATTTAAGCTTATATCTCTTGATACTACAAAAGTTAGTTATATGATCACAACGTTTCACACATGACGAATCAAAGTTGATACAAAACTAGCTGAGTAGTAGACTTTTTGTTATTTGTTTATAGTTAATGGAGATTGAAAGATATAACAGTAATTAATGGGCCTAAAGATAGTTTACAGTCAATATTGTATAAAATGCTATATATGAAATACTCAATGAAAATCTCGACTAATTCACTAAGCCATAGCTATCCAAGTTCTATACTTCCATGTCCTCATCTCTTATCAAACATGTGAATATTATATTGTTAGTGATGATTACTCTTAAAAAAAGAAGCAGGTATGCTCACCACTTCAGTGAAATATGCCACTGTGTTGTTTAACTTTTGTAAGATTTGTTTCTGTGTAAAATTATTTAACCTGATGCTTACGCGCAAGTACACTTTGTAAATACTTTATTCATATGAAAGCTAAAGTTAAAACACGTTCTAAAAATAATCCACCAATTACCAGGACATAAAAGTAACCAGTTATCCAGAAACAGAACACCAAACACGCTAAACAGTATCATTATAATATGAAATGATTAGCTGCTAGAAATAAGAAAAACGATACACATCTTCTTGACTTAGAATTCATTAATGTGGTAAAACCATACAGCACAAATTTAAGCAGTATTAGACCATAGAGTTTAATCATACCTATTTATATCTGTGACATATAATCAACATTCTTTATATTACACTAAAAGAAATAATGCTGAGTGCTTTCTTTTAGATTAGCAACTTTAGAATATTAGTTCATTTTAACACAATTGTCACTCATTAGTTAATACGATTGTTAAGGGAATATTATTAAATGATAAACATCTTACTTGTGTATTAATTTATTTCTGATAAAAAATGACTAAACAAATTTATATTTATCAGAAGGGGTTTTTGTAGATATTATAGTAATTTTAATAGTTGAAATCATGGACAGCCGTTTCGTCATATTGTGGAACTCCTCAGCAGTGTACATCCACGATTCCGCCTCGCGAGATTCGAATCTCGCGCTTCCAGGTTTTCAGTGGTCGTTCAACTTCAATTGACTAATGACTCCAACTACTGAAACTTATTTTTAATAAACCTTAAAATGAATTTCATTTGTTGCAAAACGTTTGCCTAGTTTTCCAGAAGATGATTAGTGCTCAGTTTTTATAGAAACATACATACGAATACACTTATAAACTATTGAAATTTTTTAGTTCCTATGACATTAAATTTATTTGTACACTTATTTTTACTATCTTTAATATTTTTTTATATTTTACATTAGGAAGCAGATGACTGTTTTGTTCGACAAACAAATACATCTTTTCGTTATGGTTATGAATATTTGGGCAATTCTGGACGACTAGTTATTACACCTCTTACTGATCGTTGTTACATAACATTGACAACTGCATTACATTTACACAGAGGTGGTTCGCCTAAAGGACCTGCTGGAACTGGTAAAACAGAAACAACTAAAGATTTAGGCAAATCGCTTGGGGATTATGTAATTGTTGTTAATTGTTCAGAAGGTTTAGATTATAAGTCTATGGGTCGTATGTTTGCAGGTTTAGCTCAAACTGGTGCATGGGGTTGTTTCGATGAATTCAATCGGTGAGTTGATACTGTAATCTATCAAACTCTTAACAAAATGAAAGCTCCAATTCGGTAAACTGAGATCAAACGTAGTTAGTGTTTCGTCACATTTGTTTGATAATAACGCGAAACATAGGACTAAAGAACGTAGAGCAACTTATTATATCGCGCCACATTTTTTCAACTTTAGTTTGAAGGTCAGATACAGAGATTTGAGTCATCTTTCGTATTTGTGTTCAAAAAGAGTTCATGTTTTCTTTACGATTGTAACTAGGAAAAATTCAGTGAACAGTTTATGTCACTTTTCTTACAATTTTGCTTCACCATTTTCATAATTACTAATTACTACTCATATACTCTACCTAACTTAAAAAATATTATCTTAACAAGTTTCTTTTTCCTATAACATGGTACCTATTAAAAGTGTTGAGTTACTAACACATTTTATTGTGTTGTCTTCATTGTCGTTATCACTACAGCATCTGACTTCCTAATATTAAAGTTGGTAATGGTTAATAGTCACGTAATACACTTCGTTATAAAACCTTCATACACAAATCATCCTGATTGCTTCAATATTTTGTATATAGGTGTATGAATCTAAATCTATGTTAAAGCCTGAGATGAGAATCAAAACAACACAGTTCACATTATTTCATATAACATGTGCTCGTTAGTTGTGTGTATTCTGCTTATGTTGACAGATATGATTAGTTTGTGACAGCAATCGGAAGTGAAATGCCTTCCAGCAGAAAATTAAGACGACTGAATTGTAAAGAACAGGTAGGGAAATAGAAAGCAGTTGTATTGACAATAGAATTGAAAGACCTACGAAGCGTGTAAAAGACAACTCGAGGAATATATGCAGATAATGTATTTAGTGTATGGCTTTCATATTTTAAGAAGGCACTCCGTAATTTTGGATTGCACAATAAAATGATATTTCCCAACTGAGTGCCTGTTCACAACATAGTAATTTATTCCAAGAAGAATTCTGGTTAGCAATCTTGACTGTTCGATAGCGACTATGCCAATGATAAGACAGGTATCAACGAAGCCAAAATATAATAGTCGCGCAATATCGTAAACTGAATGAGTTGTAAATGATCTGCACCGAATGCTAATAAAATTCTACAGATCAAGCAATTGCCGCAAAGCCTAAAGACCTCGGTACAGATTCTCGATTTGGTTTATGGTGCGCAGTGTAGAATAAAACACAAAATAAGACGAAATACCTGATCGACGCTATTTGGCTTTCAATGGTTGTTTAACTAAAGTTGTTCCATGATATAAAGTAACTTCAAATTATGTATACTTATATTCTTAACCAAATCAAGGTAAATACAGTTAACAGTCCTTCTACCATACCGAATTAGTTTTATTTGTGTTAACATCAAAGAAGTACATCATTATTTTAAGTGTGTACATAACTAAATCTTTCATTATTTAATATATTCTGACAGCATAAATATAGAAGTGTTATCAGTCGTGGCTCAACAAATACTATCAATTCTATCTGCATTAGCGGTAGCTGATCAGTCAGACAATCAAAATACGAAAACAAGATTTATGTTTGAAGGTCGAATGATTCAGTTAGTATGGTCATGCGGTATATTTATTACAATGAATCCTGGTTATGCTGGACGTACAGAATTACCAGATAATTTAAAATCTATGTTTAGACCAATTGCAATGGTGGTACCAGACTCATCAATGATAGCAGAAATTACATTATTTGCCGAAGGTTTTAGTTCCACAAAGGTAGTGCTACAATGAAGTAAAAATTTTTTCTTTGAAGTAATAATTATATGAAGATTTTGGTTTTAATATCAATTAACACAACAAATATTCCAGTGAATTAAACGTTCATGGCGATTCTTTTCAACATCTTAACAATTTTAACAAACGTGAACAACATGAGTATACTAAGTGAAAATCATGTAGTGCACTTTGTATGATGAATAATAAATAACTGGATCATTACACGTACTAGAAATTATTGGATAAATGAGAGGCTAAAGGTCAATTAAATTAATTCGATGTTGTAAAATCAATTTCGGGCAGTTCATCTTATTTGACCAGAAAATTATTGTCACTCTTAAAATAGTTCGATTTGCTTACGCACCTAAAAAGATATATTCGAACAATTCGTTCAGAAACATCATTGACACAAGGATACTGTGAGAATAAAAGTTGTTCGGTACACAATTTCATGTTTTTATTCATTTCATCAGTATCAGTGTTGATCCAACTTCATCAAAGATCATTTGGATCAGGTGCTAACCACATGTGTAATATACTAGATGTACAAAATCAGGCGTTCTTCTAAATAAAACGATAGAATCCTCTAATATATAAAGGAATATATTGAGATTATGTTTCCTGTGAGTTTATAGACGTTGAAGCAACTAGATATTAGGTTGGTTGTAATAAGAGATTTATCTTTTGCAAAAGACGACCGATGCTCAAAAACATAGATCAGGCTATTTTTGTCACAATTTATTAATGTTACTTTAGGAATCCAATCGATTTTATCTACCACGAAACATCATTTGTTTGGTAAATGGTCTTGGTAAATTCAGAATCTAAATTCAACTTTTTTTACAAAGTAAAATCAGCTACCTAAATACTGTAAATTAAGATAAACCTGATAGTCAGTTGTACTATTTAATCACCCTACCCTATACCATGTGTAGTCGTCGGTACGAAATAACTATTCGGTAACATCTTTTAACTGGTTCTTTGATCAATTTCCGCTGACAGAAAACCATTTTCAACATATAATGTATAACTCATACTCATAAGGGTTTGTATCATTTAATCTTTGATAAATGTGTACAAATTTAGGTCACATTGTAAGAATGATCAAAATTTAGTTGCAATTATCGACAATGAGACAAGCCAAACCAATAACAATTATCGATAAAATTTCTGGAAAGTGCTAGGAAAGCCAGAAATTATCTTGGATTTTCTTTAGGTAATTGTTTTGTAGTTTTGATAAGTAAGCAAATCCTTGATGACTTTAAGCTCACCGTATCACATTGGCCTTGACCACCATGGTGATGGTTACTTTTTTAACGTTCGTTGTTCTGTTACATGATCTGAAGGTTCTAACTATTACTATGTAAGCATTACTGTTACCTTTTCGAATAGAAAAGTTCTCTTATAAAAACTTCCTTCTCTCGTTCCTTATAGAGATTGAGGTTAAATTACGGTTGAATTGATACAAAGTAGGAACAACTAAGAGACGAGAGTAAAAACGGGAAATTTCATTTGAGTTTTAATAGGCTAGGAGTAAGGCTTAAGTACAATTTAATATCTAACTGGACCAAATAGCTTAGTAGATAATGCGTTGGCGTCTCAAGTGGCATATACCGGATGGGAGTTTCAGGGTGATCAACATCAACGGAATTCGTGGACATCCAGGTGTCAAGTCTCGAGTGGAATGAAATCTGCGTCATCGGTACCACTCTTCGCTACAGCCCAGATATAATATAAACTAATCGAATAAGTGAAATCTCCAATTTTTATCTTGGTAATTATTTAGAGTATTTCTTTTACTTGCAGATTTTAGCCAAGAAAGTATTTACACTGTATAATTTAACTGTACAACAATTAAGTAAACAAGATCATTATGATTTTGGTCTACGTGCACTAGTATCTGTACTACGTTATGCTGGTAAGAAGAAACGTGCCAATCCAAATATGTCAGATGAAGAATTGTTATTATTATCATTGAATGACATGAATCTAGCTAAGCTTACTTCAGTGGATTTACCATTATTTGAAGGTATTATTACTGATTTATTCCCAAGTATTGAGCCACCTACAATCGATTATTCAAAGGTACGTCATTGTGTAGAAACATTGAAAGAATTATGAAAAGTACTTTTACATTATTTGCATGTCATTTACTTAGTTAAAATAAGCTAGACAATATTTTCTTATCATACCAAATTTACTGAAATTTTCTAAATACATTTTTCCTTATAAAGATTGGAAGCGAATACAAAGCAGCTCAAAAGTGAAAACATATGATAACACACGAACCCATATTAGTGTAAGACTAATCAAAATTTTAAGTGTGATAGTATTCTTTTGAAGTGGTATAATACGGTTTTAAGAACAATTATTACACATACATGCTTTTGCTGCCTATTCTGAACAGCTGTACCGATTTCCCACAAGCTCCCCAACAAGAACGAGAAGACCGGCTTAGTGTTTTCTTCGTCATTGTATATAGCCCTCCTAAATAACTATGGCAATGAAATCCATAAATGACTTAGTATTAAATTAGAATTTGCTTCGGTTGTTGAATTCGTTCATATCTTTCCCTAGGTTAGGATATTAAACATAAGTACTTAAAAATGTCTTGCTTCTCATAGAGTTAAACCACTTAAATCACTACACTCATTACTTTCGAAAACAATCAACTTAGTTATAAATATGTTCTAAGATTATGTAATCCACATAATATATCATGGTACTTTCATGTACATGAACCATAATTATTGTGTTAAATCATTTTCATAGATTAAAAATGCTCTGCAAGAAGAATGTAATAAAATCAATCTGCGTATGACACCGTTTACACTAACCAAAGTTATACAACTGTATGAAACCAAAAGTTCGAGACATTCAGTTATGATAGTTGGCAAAGCATTATCAGGGAAATCTACAACATGGCGCCTACTTAAAGCAGTCCACAATTCATTGGCCAAAGTACCTAACTCTGACTTTGAAATGGTTACAGAATATTCATTAAATCCTAAATCCTTATCTTTAGGCGAATTATATGGAGAATTTAATTTATCAACAAATGAATGGACAGACGGTGTACTTTCAAGTATTATGCGACAAACATGTTCAGGTAAACTGTCATATTTATCCATGATAACGTTAGGATTGTACGTTTATTAACTTATGGATACTTTTCTATTGTAAAAGATATTTACTACTTTAGTGAAGCAATAAAAGATTAATAGTGATTGGTAGCTTATTGTAGGACTTTTTACCCAGGTTATTTCTTTATCAAGTAGCATATGTAGTCATCGATACATATGTTTTTTTCTTCTCATAGTTTTAATCACATTATTACTTTTTTATTTAATGACACTAAATACTCAGCAAGTAATTTATGTTCATGTAGGTTATCTATATCGTAACCTCAAGTATTTAGTATGGGACGTTATCTGTTCATGTATAATTTTTGAACTAGAACTACAACATCATTCTGCTACACCGATTACAGACCGTTTTCACAACTTTCCTTGCACTTCACAAAAGCCGTTTGCTGTCTCAGTTCAAAACTGTTGACTGAAAACATTCATAGGAAACAAAGTGTGATCTGATGAAACACAATTAACAGCTGATCCTTGTCATTCAATTGACTAATCAGTAGTGCTCGACTAAAGATAACAGCTCAGTGATCAGTTAATGTAAATATCTCATTCTAACAGGAGATCACATATGATCAAAACAACTTGGTAGTAACGTTTTTCTGTGACTGAATGATGTGATTTTAAATGCAAAACGAGAACATCAGTTCCCTTAAGATTGCAGATATACCTCATTGAGTAGTGTCAACTAGTACAGGGTCTAGGTGAAGGACTTTGTTTTGCTGGCTTTCAAGCACTGAACACTAAAGATGAGGTTAATTTACTATGAAGGACTAAATTTTCCGTACTTATGTTGATAATACTTGTTTTATGGCTTAAAAATACTCTTCAATATTTAATATTATTCACTGGTTTAGGGTGAATGACAACGAGATTCTATCGACTACCAATTTATGCAAATAAATTACAATCAATTCACACTGGTATTTTTTGTTTGTCTAACAGAAATTTACAAACGTTTTTAATCATTACAGATGGGTCGCCAACATTAAAATGGATAATATTCGATGGGCCAGTAGACACTTTATGGATTGAAAGCATGAACAGTGTTATGGACGATAATAAAATCTTAACATTGATCAATGGAGAAAGAATTTCAATGCCTGAACAAGTAAGGTGTACTTAATTATTTGTGGTTATTTTTGCAATACGTCACTGGCAATAAACTTTTCAAACTTCACTTTGAATTGAGCATTACGACTGCAGTTGTCTTATTTGGTCCTGGTGACAATTATCTGTAAAATGTGTTTATCAGGGTGAAAAAATTAATTTTAAATCCATAGTTAGGTCCTAAATGATTTCCTGGGGAGACTAAATTAAGAAAAGATGATATAGCGAGGTCCGCGTTGCAAAATGAGTATTTTCTAATTTAATGGTTGAGTTCATGAATCAGTTAAAGCTAGACCGCCATGGAAAATCTGGAAGCACTGGGCGGCCGTTCCGTCCTAATATGGGACTTCTCAGCAGTGCACATCTACGATCCCGGTCTCAGGATTCAAACCCAGGACCTTTGGTTTCGCGCGCGAGCGCTTTACCTCTAACCCACTAAGTCAGCATCCAAGGGTGTTAAAGTCTAGCTTCTAATTGTTTAGTGGTTCCTACCACGATTTATTTTATATTCTGATTCACCATTTTGAATAACACCTTCCACATATACAAAAGCCTACTCGGAAAAGCTTTGTTACTTTATAATTAACTATAGGATTCTTCACCTTATCTCATGTTGATGTATATGTTTGATGTCTATTATTTCACTATATTTCTATGTTCGGTATTCAATTTTCCCTTCTTTGTGGAGTAAGTGTTTTTACTTAAAACATTTCGATTACTAAATTTTACCTAACATTTTCAACACATTCAGAAATTACAGAGATAACTATATCTCTTATAATGCTTTGTATGATAAGTTCTAATCAATCTTTTTATTCATCTTATTAAGAATTCATTCATTCGCGTACATTCATATATACATATGTATATTAGCATGAAAATACAACTCATGTTGTAATTGTTTTATTTAGATATGAATTTAATAATTTAAGAGCTTCATTAATTGTAAACTAGGTCAACGGTCTAAAACCTTATCGTATGCAGATCATCTGTTATAACTTGTGGCCTCGTACCCTATTAATATATGATGTAATTATACCGCCAATTAGAGAACAGTGATTTATCGGCCGGATCAATGACGCGCAAACCCGTATGAGCAGTTCAGAGTCTTAATCAGTCCTTCATTCTACCTAACACTACCTGTTAAGTCCAGAATACAAATCTCAGCCTACTCAATATGAATCATCTATTTCAAGCATACTGGGTTTATATTACCAACCAGTCAGACCACATCGTACCATAAAACGGAAAATAACAGTTGTACAAGATTTAGCCAAATGTGGCTGTAAATAAGGGAGGTAGTAATTAATAAACAGGGTATAATTCTAGAATGGTAAATCTTATAATAATAGTTCATAAGTCAAAATAAAGCTTATAATAAGAGGAACATGAATATCCATAGTTTAGTTACGTAACAGTGATACAATATATATATATATCGTAGTTCTCAAGAGTTACCATTGATAATTCTTGTCGGGATATAACATCATCATCACCGATGTTCAAGTATTAGGTGTGATTAAAAAATGATTAGATTTGTGTTTGGTTATTGATCTGAATTCTTATGAACTTATGAACTAATTCTTGTTTTTCGCTTTTTTTATACATAGGTCTCACTACTTTTTGAAGTGGAAGATTTATCTGTAGCATCTCCTGCGACTGTATCACGTTGTGGTATGGTTTACAATGATGTAAATGATTTAGGCTGGTGGCCGTATGTTGAATCATGGTTGTCGAAAAAGACAAATAAGGTATTAGTTGAAGAAACAAAACGTTTCTTCACTAAATACATTGACAATTTACATGAATATATCAGATTGAACTGCAATGTTATCATTCCAATGAGTTTAACTAATACAATTATTTCGTTATGTAAATTATATGATAGTTTGGCGACTCCTGAAGTATGGGTAAGTACTAAATCAAAATAACAACAGATTATGTTTATGCTTAGAAATGTTTTTTTTGTCAGAAGTCATCAGTTGGTTGAAAAAAAATATAGTTGCAACATTCACGCAGGAATTTTAATCTAATAGTCGAATCAACTTAAATATTATGAAACAAACTATATTGGTCTGACAGTATGACATTATCATATACAACGGAATGCATGGGAATCGTCACAACCTTCGGATCTGTGATATCGGTTGATGCTCACTTGCAGATTCCATAAGTTCTAAAAGACGTTGAGGTTGATCTAACTTAGTTGATCAACAGAATTTTAGCAATTATGTAGTATAAATGAAAACTAAGAAAGTTGAGTAAAATGAAAGGTCCAGTAACTAGTGGAAATTGGAAATATGTGAAAGGTAGAAATAGGTAGTGTAGTATAAAGTGGTGTCTTATCAATCCCGGCACCATAAATGGATTGTTTTTTGGCAAACAAAGATAAAAATTTAGTTAGAATCAAAAGTGGATTGTTTAAAGAACCATCTAACTGTTTGAAACATGGATACGCATATCACTATCTGTAAATAACTTGCAAATTCCTAGCCACATATAAATAATAATTTAATTCACATTACATTTTATGTGTCTGATGAGTTTTGCTAATTGAAAACTATATTCGGTTCCTAAGTTATTCTCGTAACCCCCAAGCTAGAACTACACAGCGATCTGAACACGAGAGAAAAAGTGTAAGTACGCGAGAAGTACTTTACCCCAAAGGTTCGTTTTAGTACAGAAAATATAGGGTTTTTATAATATTTCAGATGTCCTTGGGCTTCCCAAAAATTTTGGAATGATACTAAACATAGTAGCAGTACAGTAATCAGCCAATCAGAAACTCTACATGTGACTTTTCACTTTTTGATGTTTCTGGCTAAACTTCAAGTGAACACTGATTGGATAAAATGCTTCTTAGTGTTTCTTGAGCCTTCCTTGTCTTTTGCGAGTTTTCTGGATCACCGCAACAGTATCGCATTCATTTTTTAAGGTTAAAGATATGATTTAACAACACTGACTGGTGCATATTGGAACTGAATATTTTCAAGATATAGTGTTATTGAGTTATAATGCTACTACTATATAGACGAAACATGCATTGCATTACATTCTCTGCATCTTTGAATTCGAAAGTTTGGAATTATCCTGGTTAACTTCCAACCTAATTCTGACGGTCCCGCAAAAGCCACCCATTTCACGATGATTTACGAGTTCTGCGTATAAGCCAAATTATTTGGTGCATTAGAACCATCATACCTCACGGACCTTGAATGAGGGCCAAACATTTATTATGCGTACAGATAAAACCAGACAGTTACACGAGATGCGAATTAAGATCTAAGTAGGGAATTAAATTATAAAATCCGCATAAAACTGTCAGACTCTCACTTTCCATTCCAAGATGATTATCTCCTATGACCCATCAAACATCATATGACAAAAATCACCTGTCAGAATACCGACTTCGATGGTCTCTTCCCTGCGATAAACCAATTGTACGTTAACATGCGCGAGCAGCCTTGAGTCAACTCTTAGTCCTCATTGATGCTTTGTATAGTAACTTCTTGCCCAACCCAGCTCGCTAAGTCGAGATCACTAATACCAACCTTCATTGCATGAATCGTATATTTCAAGACATACGTGTTTTATATACAGTCAAACTAGACCGCATCACACCATAAAATAATTATCTGATAAGAATATATGTAGTAATAGTCCATTAATAATTTCTAGCAGTTACCGTTCATTTATTATTCGTTCGGATGTAACAGATTTTGACAGTTTAAACAAAAAAACTTAAATTGTATTACGGTTTGAACTACCGTTTTCTAGAATTCCAGTCAGGATATTTATGGATCTAAACATGAAACCAAGCTACGCAGTGGTTACTAATTTCCAATAATCCACTACTATTTCTTACTTCATAAAGCTAAACATCGATTCAGATCTTTTATTCAAATTAAAACCAAGAAAAAATGAATTATTGAAACTAGAATGAAACATCTATTTAACGGCTCTCAATCCGATGTCAGTCCATAAAAATTATTTGAGGTTCATTTTAGTTTCCATCAGTTACTTAACTGACTTGTATTCTACATGCCGCTGAGGATAGTCCTTCATAGTTAGTAGTTTTATTTGTTACTAATTTGACGCGCATTAAAACCGTTAGTCATATTTCATAATAACAGTTTCGGATTACATAAACAAAATTTATGCTAGTACTTTTGATTATTACACTGTTAATATTCTTAATATTACAGCAATACAGAGATGTTCATCTTTTATTGAACGAACGTCGATCGGTTTTTATTGATGCAAAATATAATTTTGCATTCATTGTCAGCTAAGTGAAAATTTGATAGTTCAAAGTTCTAGTTGTAAACCCTTGATGTGAATCATCAACAATAACTTATTCAAGCTTTTGATTTTGATAGTCATTTCATCATAATGAAAAATCAATTTTGTCAGGTATTTTGCTCATTTACGTAAAAACGCATTACCTTTTTTTTACATCTCATTCTAACTCTTATTACCACCCGAAATATTCTAGGCAAATCCTGCAGATGTAGACTATTATCCGCGTTTATTGGAAATGACGTTTCAATTTTGTATGATATGGTCTGTTGCATGTCTAGTTGATGAAGATGGTCGTAAAAAAGTTGATGCATATATCCGTGAAATTGAAGGAAGTTTTCCAAATAAAGATTCAATCTATGAATATTATGTAGATCCTAAATCAAGATCATGGATTCATTGGGAGGAGAAATTAAATACTGGATGGAAATATTCACCGAAGTATGTTACTTTGTTTCTTTCCTTATAATTCTGTTGATTTGTGGTCAACTACTAAATTGATCACTTAAACCATTTGTTTCTTTTCATGTGGCGTTCTTTACAAGTATACAAATCAGCATTAAAATGTTTCATAAATTTCTTGAGTCTACCAGTGATAATTAATGAGTTATAATTTGAATATAACTGTAGTCTGAAGGAATAACAAACTAATAACACATATCTAAAACTTGATTTGCAAATCAATTTACATATCAAACGCACTTTTTATATGCTATTTACATACAAGTTCAAGTAAATTCTTTGTAGAATAGCAGTGAAAAAGTTTATTATTACATCAAAAGATTACTTCGTAAATATTATCATGACTCTATATATTGCCTTAATTTGTAACGATTTGTATTATACAGTTGTTGATATTTTGACTGAACTTTTATCAGCCTTAGTTTCATAATGACTTCATCTAGGAGATCAGCATAGGATGACAATATACTAACCATGACTGATCAAATGTTAGTATAATTTCGGTGGATTCAGTAACTAAATAGATAACGCGTTGAGATTTGAAACAAACAGTGCTGGGGTTCTGATCTTAGAGTGAACATAAACTCTGGGATGTAGGTATATGCAGCTGAAAGGTTCTGAATCGGAAAAAGCACGAGCCATGGATTCCCCTGCTAACCACATTTAATCTATTCTTTGTTCACGCGCTACCGCTTCGAGACAATCAATCATGTAAATTAAATTCTTCTGCAAATACTTTCTAGTTAAGTGATAAAATTACTGGTTCCTCAAATATTCTTAAATTATTCGTAAAATACTTATGTATACCTGACCAAACAGAATATTCCAGTGTTACATTCGTTTATGATTAGAAATTTACTTTAAAATACCATATTTAAATCATTAACCGTAATCGAAAAAGGTGGAAATTCAGTTTTTCAACTTTAGACACAGAACAATATGGCTAAACTTAAAATGATACACTGGAAAGGCAAATAGTCATTGTTTTAAAATCATTTAAAATAATTGATGGTGAAATGAATTTTATTGAAACTGACTTTCAGAGAGCTCTAAACTAATGTATATATGATGTAAGAAAAAAATATGTTATCCTACCGTTATCGTAGTGATCTTATATTAAATTTCCCTGTCATAAATGTCGTTTTACTCTACAGCTTTTTTCTACCTCGTCAAACTAACACCTACTTTAAGGCCTTGTTTCAACATACCTTGTTCTTAAATCTTCGGATTTCTCGAACCTTCAACGACTATTAAGTAGCTTACAATAATAATGTTCGAGTTCTCTATATTTCCTGTTTCCATTCTTTGTTCATTTTGCTTTCTGTTTTAGGGAATAGTTATCTATAGTTTTACTTAGAAGCAAGCATACTAAAAATCCTTTGTTGTCACAACTTTCTACTTTCATCAGTAGTGCTTATCTTAGAATATATAACTGCTTTTTCTTGTCACTATGTTCTATTGCCTCGATCAGTGCTGTAGACAGGTGGGAAAATTAAAACCAACACAGTTTTCGTCTAATTCATTAATTCTTTTCTACCTAATCAAATTGCAAAAAATTTTTATTTGAATCTATGGATTATTGAAGTGTGCGGATAAGTAGTTCCAGTATGAGATGAAACGTACGTACATTGTTTATCATAATTCATTTTGACATATCAACTGCTAGTTTTATGGCATAAAATCCACTTTTATGTATGTTTTTTATTCCCTTACAATTTTTTTTACCAATAATAGAACCTGACTACCATCATTAATCATTTGCTTTATAATTTTCTTTCAGTGTACCATTTCATAAAATACTAGTACCAACTGCAGATACAATTCGGTATAATTTTCTCCTGGATTGTACAGTTAAACAAAAATATCCTGCTCTACTAGTTGGTTCTGTTGGGACTGGAAAAACATCATTAGCTTTGGATTTATTAAGGAATTTAGATTCAACACAATGGATTAATCTAATAATTAATATGTCTTCACAAGTTAGTGACAATTTCATATGAATTTTCATTTATATTATGTATATGATTTCTACTTTCCTAATTTCATTATTATTATTGTTATTATTAGTATGCTATTAAACTAATAGTTACCAATAATGAAATCTTTTTTGACATTCGACTAGTAATATATTCCTGCAGAGGACGTTTTAGTAAACCATAGCAACGTTTGATTTCGCATGATGTATGTGGTTCATATCATTGTATCCGATTAAAGTATTTCGAATGACATTAGTGTAATTTGACAACTCACAATTAATCATATTGTCATAGAAAAAAGTGCACACTCAAGTTCATTTATAAATACGATCTCTATTTTTCTTAAACGAAAGAGTATGGAGTTTCACTTATTTGTATAGCACAACACAAAACAAGAAACGTTTTTTTAAATAACTATACTATAGCGATTACCAAGGTATATTTATTTTATAGTTTTGAGTCACATTGTTGAGACTTTGCCCGTTAGTTTAGACTTACAATTGCTTTAATCTCTTCGGCCTATTATTGAGTGCACTCGAGTGTATGATGGACCAACTCAGTTAAATCTATATTAAGAGCTGTATGATAATAGGTGTTATAGTGTCGCAACATAAAAAGTAATGTGAACATGATCTCACAAAAATGATATGTGCACTATAGTAATTATCTTTTTTGATATAGACAACATCAAACAATGTTCAAGATATTATTGAAGGACGAGTAGAGAAACGTACAAAAGATACATTTGTACCTGTTGGAGGTGGTAAAATGCTTACATTTATGGATGATTTTAATATGCCTGCTAAAGATAGCTCTGGTTCTCAACCACCTCTTGAATTAATTCGTCAATGGTTAGAATATGGATTTTGGTATGATCGTGCAAAACAAACTAGAAAGAAAATAAAAGGTATGCAACTTTTCGCAGCAATGGGTATACCGGGTGGTGGAAGAATGATATTATCTCAACGATTACAAGCCCATTTTCATCAAATTGTTGTCACATTTCCAACGGTACGAATTTTGTTTTGGAATTAAAAGTTATCATTATACTTTTTTTTAAACTTGAAGAGAGTTTTGTTTACACTTTTATGTTGGGATTAGATGAAGATTTTGTTAACAGGCTATTTTAAATTTGATCCATGCAACATTCAGTATTTTGATTGTTTTCTTTGTGTGCATCTCCATTGCATCATGATATTATTATCTAAACATCTCCCAATACTTCATAAAGGTAATCAACTACTTTTGTCTATATATAATGTATCGATAATTTTTGACACTATATTAACACAGGCTGAGAAGTTTTAAAAATAAAATAGTTTTAATTTTCATAATGCCAGTAAAACTTTTGAGTTACTGAATTTCATATGCGTGTAGTTTGATCAGTTTCAGTCCCAGTTTTTTTTATAACCACTAACTTTTAGCGAAGTTGATGGACTATTATAAACAGCTTTTACTTGTCGATACCCACGAAACCATAAAACTTGAGAAGGTTGCATCATTATTACTTTACGAAATCCGAAATTAGTAATAATCATCCTTTCATTATTCGTCAATCTTGTGAATAGGACTTATAAAAAAGCACAATCAAATATATAATATCAATAGCATTTACTCTGAATAAGGATGAATAAATATTAATAAAGTATCACAACAAATTCCGTTTTAAATTATCCGTAACCAATAAATGTTATCAAGTCCCTCGAATACGTAAAGTAATATACATATCAATTACTCAGAGCATAAAAAATAATTTAACTCAATGATAGCCATTCAGCATCTGATCGAAAATGACTGGTTAGAGATAGAAACTTAATCATAGTCAAACCCACGGGGTTATTCATATTAAACCTACTTTATCTTCATCTTGTGCTTGACAAGTTAAAATGAAATATAGTTAGGAGTTAAAATTAATGGAAAAATTCAAGAACTTTTCACCCGCGAATTGGTAATTTAACATTGTGCGATTCATAATGAAAGTTCACCTAGGTCTGAATGTTTAAAATGTTTAAAAATTAAATACTGGAACCACTACTGACGTTTGATGCTTGTTTTAATCCAGATATTTAATTATTACATTGATTTAAATTGACCATTGAAATCACAACACTTCATGATGAATTTTTTGTCATATCACTTAAAGTCTTCAACTAAAAATTTATAACATCACAATGACTTTCGATAGGATTTTTAGTTTTCTCTCAGTTTAGCAATAGACAAAGTCAACCACTTTCTCATTACTAGCGCTTAGTAAATTTTAGGCGGTTTTCGACTGGAATCTACTTAACTAACACTTCATTTTAAGTTTGATAGGTGTTATTGATGAAGTACAAGCTTATGTATTCAGTTTGAGTCACCGTCTAGATGAACGAATCAAGATGGGTGTAATAGTGTTTAAAATTATGATCTACTGGTTGGTGAATATTTGATTGAGGTAAGACTACTTATTATTCAACAACTAACTATTTGAAGGATAAATATTTTTTTGGAAATTATAGTGTAATTGACGTTGATATTGTCTTCTTTAAGCTTGATTGTTTAATCGTTACGTTTTCATTACGTTCTTAGACAACATTATCAGTTTAAACCGTAATTAGTATTTGTTTTACTTTTGTATCAGGAGGCCAATCTTAAACGAATTTATGGAACTATGATCACTCAAAAATTACAAGAATTTCAAGATGAAGTTAAATCGATGGCTGATAATTTAACTCAGGCTTCAATTGATTTATATCATGCAATTGTTAATAAATTTTTGCCAACTCCAACAAAAATACACTACTTATTCAATTTAAGAGATATTTCCAAAGTAAGTTTCTTTTATTATTAATAATTTACAGTCAGTAGTGAAATTGTTTCATAATAAACAAGTCTTTTAGTCAATCGATATATTGTTTCATATGATTTAAACTAATTTATTGCTGTCAAATTGAAGTTGCTTTTTGGTGGAGTTTTGTTCTCTGAGCCGGATGGTTTGGTCGTGGAGCTTTCATCGTTGTTCTGAACGACATCATCAGCACAAACTTCAGATAGGAGTGAAATGTTTGAATTTCTCCATATGTGTTTCACAGCTTGTTCTGTGCACCTCGATGTTGATTGGTTCTTATTGACCTTAAATTTGTCATTTTTCACTTCTTTGTTTTGATTCTCTCTCCCATAGGTCTGATTTTTGTTCCTATATTTGCGCATGAATTTCCTGATTGGTTGGTAAATTGGATTGATTTCAATATGCTTGTTGATTGCTGATTGACCTGAGTGCCAGGCTTCTAAATATTCTCTGGTGGTTTTGGAGTTTCCTCTGTCTAAGATTTCCACATTTTTCCAATCGAATGAGTGTCCGCAGTTGTCCACGTGTATTGATATAAGTGAGGAGATATCATGGCGTTTGACGGCTAATTGATGTTCATGTAGGCGAAGGTGAAGGGGGCGTCCGCTTTGTCCGATGTAGTGTTTGTCGCAGTTGGCACAATTTATTTTGTAGATGATGTTTGATTTGTTTTTCTTTGTTATTTCATCCTTTGGTTTGCATAGGATTGATTGTAGTGATTTTGTCGGTTTGTGTGCCACACGTATCCCGAAGGTTTTCAGCAGTCTCGTTGCAGTTTCTGATATTCCTTGTATGTATGGTAGGGTGGTCCTTTTGTTGATTTTTCTGCTTAACATGGGTTCGGATGCTGCGTGCGGTTGGTATTTTTTGATGAAGTTGATTGGGTAGCCGTTCTTTTGAAATACATCCATCAGGTATTTCTCTTCATTTTTTCGTGCAGCCAGTGTGCTGCAGTGCGTCCTCGCCCTCTTGAAAAAGTGTGTACGCAGTTGATTTTGTGGGCTCTTGAGTTGTTGCTATTGTAGTTGAAGATTTGATCTGTATGGGTCGGTTTTCTATATACTTGGGTTTCCAGTTTTCCTGTGTCAGTTCTAGTGATCAATATATCCAAGAATGATAGTTTATTGTTTAACTCCTGTTCCATCGTAAACTTGATGTCATCGAAAACGTTGTTGATCAGTTTGTAAGTGTTTTCCAGCTCATTCTTTTTGACGATGACGAAAGTGTTGTCTACATAGAGAATCCAAATTTTTGGCTTGATCACTGATAGTATCGCGGCTTCTAGTCTTCGCATCACTGCCTCTGCGATGAGTCTTGATATTGGTGATCCCATTGGTGTCCCTTTCGTTTATTCGTAGATTTTGTTGTTGGATTGAAAATATGTTGTTAGGCATAAATCGATGAGTTCCAGTAGACTTTGAATTTGAAGCTTCGTGTATTTAGTAAGATTTTTGTCGTTATTGAGCAGCAGGGATGTAGGTTCTTTTGCTAATTTCGGTTCGATTGAGGTGAATAGTGCTGTTATGTTGAAGGGTATCATCAGTTCGTCGTTGTTGATTTGAATGTCCTTAATTTGGTCCGGGGGAAATTCGAACACTTCACTTCTATCTGAAGTTTGTGCTGGTGATGTCGTTCAGAAGAACGGTGAAAGCTCCACGACCAAACCATCCAGCTCAGAGAACAAAACTCCACCAAAATCATCCACCTGAGCTACAAATCTTCTCCACTATCTGAAGTTTCTTTACTTTGTTAATCTCTTTTATCTTAATGAAAAAGTATTCGGTTCGTTATAAGCTTTTAATGAGTTATTTAATAGTTCAATTCATGAGTGAATTAAAGCTAGACCACCATGAGAAACCTGGAAGAACTGGATGGCCGTTTCGTCCTAGTATGGGACGCATCAGCAGTGTGTATCCACGATCCTGCCCGCGGTAGTCGTACCCCAGTACCTATTGATCTCGCGCGCGAACGTATAACCTCTAAATCACTGAGCTGGCATCCAACACTGTTAATGTCTAGTGCTTCCAGGTTTCCCAGAATGGTCTAGCGTTAATTGACTTATGAATTCAACTATTTAGTGTATAAAACCTCCACAAAATACTCTTTTGATTTTGATCAGTTGTTAGAATGAAAATTCAAAAGTGTTTGTATAAGGCTATTTTTAGTAACGTTTTATATAATAAATATAAAGATCATAAGTGGTTCTAAAGGATAGAAATTTTTGATTGTCCTTGAACCAAATATTTTCCTGAAATGTTCCGATGAATCAGTAGTTGTTTTCAGGGCTTCTGTTTAGCTAATGACACTCAAAAATCCTACTGGTGAGATAGCCACACGAAATCAAATCATTTTATGATGAGACTATAACTGACAGACCACCTTTGATAGATGCTCAATTGACTTTTAGATTGTCGACTTGCTTAGCCGGGGCAAATGAGAGTTATAAATGAAGATTAGGATCTGGGTTAGAAATTGAAGTTAGGGTTTTCAGCACTAACTGTTATCAGCTCAAATGCCAAAATGTCATTTCGTGCTAAAATCTAAGAGCTGCTCTCTAAAATATGATTGATTCGTCTATAAATTATTACAATGGCATATTGTTAGTACAAAATAATATTATGAGCAAAGAGTGCAAATAGTAATAGTGAAGTAAATATATAAAACTAAGGAATTTTCTTCGAAAAGAACTGATGAAATTGAAGAATATAAAACATGGAATATCATAAAACCGAAGATTCAGAGTGAAATTAAGGATGAATGCAATTTTACCACTACGTCACATGGTATGTTTTATGATTAAGAAAAATTTGCTTTACTTTCTTCGTTGTCATTCTTATCCTAGATGTTTAGCTTACCGCATATGCGTGAGGTCATTCTTTTTTATATTTGAGATCTTTCAAGGTTTACTTCGAGCTAGTAAAAAGTATATTGATACTCGTAACTCAATGCTTCGTTTATGGATTCACGAAGGATTACGTGTATTTTATGATCGTTTGGTAGATGAAAAAGACAGGGCAACATATCTCGATCTGGTAGGTGAATCATTGGCCAGTTACTTCGATCAAACATATCATGGTTTGTGTCCGTCTAAACAGTCTCCAATATTTGTGGATTTTATGAATCCTGATAATTCATATGAAGATGTTACAGATTTAGATAGACTACGTAAATTTATGGCCCAAACTTTAAAAGAATATAATGAATCTCCTGGTATGGTACATGTAGATTTAGTCATGTTTCGTGATGCAATTGAACACAGTAAGTGTGGTTATTGACTTTTCGATTTTAAAAACAACACGTTTATTCTTTATAGCATTCAAACGCTTAACCTATCAGTAAGATACTTACTGACACCGAAGAAATAACTTGTTCCTTAAGTATACCACATTATCATCACCTTTATATCATGCAAAATACCGATGTTTTACTTCGCTATTCAAAAACACTGCAATTTCGTAGGACTCAAATTTTAGTATACTTACTTCATGGCATTTACATACCTTTACACGGTGAGACCATAATTTATGGACGACCTTTGAGTGACGCTAAACTGACCTTGAGAATGTCTACCTAATAACTAGGATCAAACGGGGATTATAAACCAGCGTGAGGAATCAGAATTATGATTTTCAGTTGATGATTAAGGTTGGAAAATAGATTTAGGGTTTTCATAACGAACTGGCATCAGCTCTAATGCCAAAATTCTATTTAGCCAAACGGATGAGTGGATTTCGTGCCAAAATCCGAACCTGTTATCTTATACCTGATTGGTTCGTCCACTTATGTCAATCTACAGACTCAAATATTTTGCTATAACGTACGAAAACAATGCACCTAAGAAATCGAATTTCAATTGAGAACTGCAAACTTAATAGTGAAATCAGTTTATCGAGGAGATTGAGTTTCAATTAATTAGTGGATCAAGGATATGAGACATAGTAAGAGGAAGCTTTCATCTTTGACTATAAACTTCCTTCTGTGATCACTTGAACAAAATGAATTCTGAGATTATGCAATTTATAAAATAATCTTAAAATTCATTCATTTAAGCTCAGTATAAATTCTTTTTCATAGTTTGTTCAGATGAGCTTATTATGATCATTCAAAGCAAACTATGCAAAAGATTATTTGACAACTTTCCAATTTGTAAGCGACCACAGTTTAAATTTACTATATTATATTTCAATAGAATTTCATCCGAGTAATGGACTTGATGAAATATACTGATAGAACACTTTCACCGTGTCATGCATTATGACATTACGTGTAACCTATACTAATACACTACACAAACACATTGATTATAACTTTTTAAGTATACCTGATAGTAATTTGTCTAGGATTTAATAATAATACCAATGATAATAATATCACTCTTTTTCAATTAGCGTGCAAAGTTGTTCGTGTAATTAATCAACCAAGAGGTAATATGCTATTAATTGGGATTGGAGGTAGTGGTCGTCAAAGTTTAAGTCGTTTAGCAGCCTATATATGTGAATATAAAACATTTCAAGTTGAAGTCACAAAACACTATCGTAAACAGGAATTCCGAGAAGGTATGTTGTATTACGTTCTTTTACAATATATTAATAAATTTATTATCACCATTATAATCTTAGAATTTGTTCAGTTAAATACAAGTTATAGTTATCTGTGCTCATCGAACTAGTTTGAGTCGGTTTGAGTCTATTCGAGACCGAAAACTGGATTCTTTAAACAATCTACCACTACTGGAGTTTTCACCCATGCAGACTGCGAACTATTACATTCTTTACTTCATGTTAAACACATAAATTCTTCCTTAGTGAGTTAACATATAGAAAGAATACTTTTGTGTGGGAGTGTAATAATATTACACGAAATTTCTCGTATAATAACTTTCATTCACTAATTATTACTATGTCCCGACATCGGATAGGCCTATAATATTTAGGAAGAAGCTGTACGGTATTATGGAAGGCCTAATTGTAGTTGATATATAACAGAAATTAGACGAGGAACTTTCAGTCTTCATAAAAATTCTTAGATTGAATATTTCTGCATTCTACTTCTGCATATTACTATAAATTGCGGTTCTAAAATATTCGATCTTAATTGGTTTAGAAATTTCATTCACTTGGTTTCTGTGATTTAGTTTTAACGTAAGTATTCAAAAAATTTCTATATTCACAAGAATCATAAATACTTGCTGATTGTTGTATGCTGTGGTAAATCATGAGACATTCCTTATTGAAGGCTAATGAAAGTGAATTACAACCGAAAGTTAATTAACACTAATTTCTTGCATGAAAACGTATAATATGTCAATCATATGTTTACGATGAAATACTATTAACATCATGCAGCTTAACGGCATGTGATTCGAAATGAATTCATGTCTGCACAACTATCTTTTCCTTCAAAGTAGATCCATATGCTCCCATTTGTTATGTTCAGTAAATAAGAAAAGTAAGTAGCTAGAATATATAGTTTCTCCAAAAGGCAAGCCGGATGTCTGTTTTAATAAAAATTTAAAAAATAAACGGAATCACTTCAAAAACCAATAGGACATATGATGAGGTTTTTACCTTTTCGTTTGGACCCTGTAAACAACAGTGAATGATTGATGTTTGTGTTCTGTAATTCAGTTATCGTAGATGACGAGTAACTTAGTCAATAAGAATATGTGATATTAACACAGTTGCATTAACAGAGTGTAAGTTTGTTCGAAAAGTTAACCATTTGGTAAGAATCACTCATATCTACAATAGTACATTATAACTTTAACAGCAAGTTACATATGCATCATTACTAAACAGTTAGGAAGTAAACGTTTCATCACACTTATACACTATCTTGTTCAATGATAACAAGAAATCATAGTAATTCATATCCTCTTGTAAATGCCTTAGTATTGTATGTTAGCAAATTGACTGTTTTAAATTGTATTATTATATTGAATATAGATTTAAAGAAAATGTATTTTCAAGCTGGTGTTGAAAATAAACCAACAGTATTCTTATTTACTGATGCACAAGTGTTAGATGAGTCATTTTTAGAAGATATTAATAATATGTTAAGTTCTGGTGAAGTGCCTATTTTATACAAATCAGATGAATTTGAAGAGGTTAAACAAGAATTACTTGAAGTTGCTAAACAAGAAGGTATTGCAGAGTCGACTCAGGTAAACTACAAGTGAAAACATTCACTTCAAATTTAAATATATGGAATATCGTATTTTGATTATTAAGTTAACCTAATTGGTTCGTTGGGTCTAAAACTGGTAAAATATTCTTCAAACTCATCTTTCCTTATTCCTATATGTCAGTAAAAGTCAATTTTCAACATAATATTTGATCCATACTAGCACAAGTAGACAATTTAAAGTTGCTGCTGTAAGACTATTCAGAAATGCAGACCACTCCGATTTACTCACAAACTGGGAACAGGTTATTTGAAACTCATGAGTTGTATACTACTTCCGAATTATTCAGTTAAAATTCACCTTCACATACAGTAAAACTGCTGAATCAGCAATACTGAATCTCCACCGACCACCTACTCTGACGCCTTATATAAGTTAACATAAAAGTAGATTGGGATAGAGATGAAACATCCAAGTCAGGATACGACGTTATTCTGCAATGCTATGAACTACTGATCTGAGATGTTTCTAGAAGTGCACATTGTTATTGTGACGTTTGCTGGATATTCGTAGCTTTTGAATGGATCAAAATAATGTCAATAATATCTGTATAACTATTCTTCGTCTTCCCCTTATTATCTAATTCGGTATTTTGTCATACTTTTTGTTCTCTAACATCGTTTATTATAATTCTTATACTCAGTTTTCTGCCATTAACAGTATGCAGAGTTTCTTTCCCTTGATTTTTAACGTCGTTAACTTGTTCACCATAGCTTCTAAAATCGAATATTAAAATTAATCAGTGGTTTAGAATTGATATAATATGCTCCAAATCCAATACTCTGAAAACCTGATTTGTTTAATTTTAATACCATTGATCTCTCGTTTGTTTATTTTATTTGTCATTTAATTCTTTCCATGTTAGTTTAATTCATTTGTTAAATTCTTTAGATTTAACCAACCTATTTTCGTTGCACAGTGAGATTTATTTCAGCTCATTCGAGAAATGTTAAATATGGTATTAAACATAATTTGAATAAGAATATAACGTTAAGGTAGTTACATCGATTGGAAGAGGTTGGTCAGTGGTTGAAGTACTTGACTTCTAAACATTAGGTAGAGGGTTGGGATCCCATCTCATTAAGCAGTGTGGCTCAAATTTCAGTAATTAAACATGTATTATTTTTATTAATTGTTAGCTATTTAATTCATGGTGGTATAACATCAAACATTTATTTCTCATATTCATTTGGCATTCTGTTTTATTAATATAGGCAATATTTCGTTTCTTTATTGAACGAGTTCGTGCTAATCTACATATTATTTTATGTATGAGTCCTATTGGTGAACCATTTCGTAATCGTATTCGAATGTTTCCAGCATTCGTTAATTGTACTACAATTGATTGGTTTAGTGAATGGCCACTTGAAGCTTTACTAGAAGTGGCTGAGAAATATTTAGCATCCGTTGATATTAACATTAATGAACCAGATGTAAGTTTTTCTCCACTACAATTACCATTATCAATTTCCTTGAAAACTTTATTTATGGATAAATCACTCCATTTTTATTGAAACTAACTACCTATCAGTTATAGGAATAGTTAGTCTGTTAATAAATACTATTTTAAACAATCAGTATTCTCATTCAACAAGATCATTGAAGAAGCATTAATTGAGTAATAATTTTCATTTGATTACTTATTTATCAAGAAATGTAATTTTATTTTTTATTAACCACATATATGGATTCAAGTAGTGAATACACATAACAAATACAACTTACCAGTCAGTATACGTTTGTCTTTATTGCCTAGTTAAAGAGTTAAAGAAAAAAAAGTTAATTATAAACAGTGAACTAAAAACACTGCATGCTATCAAAAATTGACAAGATCTCTTTCTACTGTACAGGTCATAAGCACCTTTATTAATCTTTTTTCATATCACTTATGCCTTATTTCACTTTTAGTTGATATATCGCTATGCAAGTAATGAATTGGATTGATACACCACAGTTGTTATTAATGTCGATTACCACAACATTGTGTAATTCCTACTGTAGAGTTTGAATTAACTTCCAAAATCCACCCAGCCAATAGTCTTTTTGATCTGCCATTAGTTCATATGTTAGTCAGGTATCATTAATCTCAGTTATTTCATTTCTTTTCAGACAATTACTTCTAATTATTATAATCGATTTTGTTTTATGCTTGAATCATACCAGTAACGAGAACAAAACTATGTGTTTGGTTTTGACATTTGATTAAATAAAGTTACTGATATACTGTATCACAATATAATATATTTAAGTAGCCTGTCATCATTGAGTATTTCCATAATCTTTTTTTTTCATTGATATATTTTTAGCCCCAACTTTTGGTTAAAAAACAGGTAAGTTTTTTTATTGTAATCAACATTGTATGACGTAACTGTAAGCTTATAATTATTATTCTGATAGATCATGTTTTTGTTATGTGCTAGAATTTATTTAGTTGTGAATCGGGAATTGATTGTATAACATTTTCAAGTGAATAAATTATTAATGAATGAGAGAATTTATGAAACATGAGAAATATTTGACCAATAGGATGAACAGAGTAACTGAGTGTATCATCAGATTTAAATGAATGAGTTATGTGAATGATCACCAATAAATCCGAATAGACATAACTTTTATGATAATAGTAATAACAATGGTAATAATTAGTAGAATATAATTGAACGGTTTTTCATGAAGCAAGAGTGAAGTACGAACAGAAAATAACAAAGAATTATAATAAAACTGTAGACCAAGACCACGGTAGAGCGAGGAATCAAATAAATTATCTTTGTATGCATCAATTAGGCCTCAAATAATGGATGACTAAAGCTTCTGCAACTTAAATTAGATTTGGACACACACCTGAGATTTTATAAATGGTGTTAATAGATGAATCTAAAGCTAAATATTCTTTCGCAACTACATCTTACAGAATAGATTATTTTATTTATCAGTGTTGTATTTTGCTGAGCCATACCAGTAGATGCACCCCGAATTTGACTAAGAGATGTCCTCAACGACTAACTGAAATCAGTTGTAAGGTAACTGTTTCTATTTTGCTTTGAAACTACCAAGTACCGAAAGAATCTATAAAATTTTACTTGAATTGTAATCACAATATTACTCGAAAAAAGACTCATAACTCAATGGTTTACGTCAACTTTCAGTCAGCTTCCAGGATCATTACCCAAATTATTCAATTAGACAGTTTTTCGCTCTCGACGTAGTTGTTTCCTAACATCACTGAATCTTCATAAAAATCATAAAAACTCTATCACAGTACTAGCTAGTAAAATGCAGTGAATTAATATTTAATTAAGTGGATTATGGAAGGTTTTCGAAATCATATCTTTATTTCATATTGTTCGACGCTTTCATTTGTGATTTTAAACATTTCTTTTTTTGAATAAACAGGGAAAAATGAGAATAAGTGTTGCGAAAATATTCGCTAACATGCATCGATCAGTTACTGATATGGCTGTGGTCATGCTTAATGAATTGAAACGACATAATTACATTACACCAACCAATTACTTAGAATTTGTATCTGGGTACAAAATGTAAGTGTAATTGATGGAAATTCATTATGGTATAATTTATAATGATGGTTACTAGTGTTGCTAAAACGAATATGTTAACGAATAACCAAATGATGTTTGAATGTTGTTCAAATTCTAAAAGCTTCAAAACAAAATATTTAAAGGCCACATGGAGGGGAAATGTTTTATTCCAGATGAATGCTTCTCATTATGTTCTATTCTCTGAAGTGAATAGCAGAATTGTGAAGATTTGACTGGTGTTTCGTAAACTTTACCAATTGTTACTTGAGATGGCACTTTCAAAATAATCTATATGTTCTCATAAAAATATTTCAATTCTGCTACGGCTACTCTTAACTATTTCTCATCTAAGGTCTTAATGTCTTCATATACCTCTGTACTCCCATTGACCAATGTTTCCTTTCGGCATCTGATTATTTTCTAGATGATTTTCATCGTATACTTTGATAGATTGAATCTATTACACTCAACCTATTGACTGCATGTTGACTTACGTTTCAGGCTTCTAAAATTATTCTAGCTTCGTAGAATTTCCTCGATCTAACATTATGATATTTTATTAGTCAGATTCAAGTCCATTGTTGTTTGTGTGTACTGAGATAGGCGACGATATCCAGTCATCAAACAAATACAGGGAGTTCAAATACAAACTTATGCATAAAGCCAATACACACAAATTAAATTAAATTCAATAATAAACAAAACTAATTATATACAGGCACTGTTTAGAGGAGTTGAAACTCTGTGCTACTCCTACTTACCATGCAAATTAAAGGGATTTAGTTGCATTTTATTGGCATCGTTATTTAAACAACCTCATCAAAGCTGTCTTGGAAATCAACACCGTTTTTCTCATTACCGCTTGTTTAATTGCTTTAGACGGCTATATGGAAATAGTTTTGTTTTAGTCACCTTCAAATTTCAAACATTCTCACTTCCATACTTATCTATCAAAACGCCCATTTTTTATTATTAAGACAATAAATACAAATTTCATGCAGTTTGTCAGTCATAGTGTAGAATCAAGCAACATATTTGCAGTGGGCTAAGTTGTCGCCGTATATGAGCACAGCTAGATGAAAGTATCAAATGTCAGAGTATTAGAAGTAATCACAATATCAATTACAGTTAAAGACATTAGACATAGAATAAAAGATCGGCAAAGAAAATACAAATTAATGCAATAAAAAAGGATAATTATCAGTATGGGGGTTGTGGATATTGTTAAGTTTTTTGGTTGAGATCATGAATTAATTGATGTTAGACCACCGTTGGAAACCTGGAAGCACTGGGCGGTCGTTTCGTCCTAGTATGGGACTCCTCAGCAGTGCGCATCCACGATCCCGCACCCCGCGGGATTTGAACCCAGGACCTACTGGCTTCGCGCGCGAGCACTTAACCATTAGACCACTGAGCCGGCATCCAATGGTGCTAGTGTCGGTTTCCAACGGTGGTCTAACATCAATTAATTCATGATCTCAATCAAAAAAGGATAAATTTGAAAGTCGAGATATAAGGTAAGGAAATGAGTGAATACATTTGCATCGTGCTGAATGATACCGAACCATACCACCCAAAGTCTCCAACCATTGGTTGCATTGATCAACTTGCACCTGAAAATATTGGTTGTTAAACATTAAGGATGTTATAAATTTGAATACCGTCTAGTTACTTCTGTTTACGTAATCATGATATCGACAAAAATACAAGGATAATATTGAAGAATTTTATTGATGCTAACCATTTTTATGTACACAGTACAAATGAGTATTTCGCTCATACACTTATTCATACTCTACATTGAATTCTTTTCTTTTACAGTCTTCTTTATCAAAAACGTCAAGAATTAAGTGATAAAGCAAATAAATTAACAAATGGTCTTGATAAGATTGATGAAACAAGAAAAAAAGTTGAAGGTAATTTTAATTTTTGTATTTTTCATTGTCAGACTTTATGGTAATGTTTTTTCCCTTTTAAAACAACTAAATGAGTCCGCAATTGATTAAATAGTACGTTAGGAGTTTTAGGCGAAAATACTCAATTCAAATCGATAGTGAGCATTAACACAGATTTAGGTACATTTTACTAAGAATTTCCTAACAGGACAAAATGTGCATCATTGATTCCACTCCTAACGACAGCCTATCTATTCTAAACACGTGAATAAAATTAAAAATACCTCTGACCATTTCACTGTTGAATATTAACATACTCGCAGTAATTTCTAGCTAATTATACATTATTTTAACGTGATAACTCAACAAAAGCGCAATGAGACTACTTATAAGCTGAAGGCAAAAAATGATGTATATGCGAACTAGTATAAAACATATTCATCCCGTTGCAAAGTGATAATCCACGTATTTGTTTATTATTCATAGTGTTAATGTTGAGCATTGTTATCTTTTCTTAGTAAACTTATGTTTTCTTCAAGCAACAAAAACAAATTCTTGAATTTTCGGATCAGTGTATAATTAAAATAGATTGTTTCTTTAGCAAATTCACCTGAGTAAATTATTTCATTAACACATTCCGTTTTAATTAAAAAACTTCCGAGTCGTAAGTGACTCCATTCAGGAATGTATTGATGGGAGTAAATAAGGAGGAAATACACATACAACATGAATACCGCTTATCACGGTGAATTAAAATAACGAATCTAGGTATGTTCGTATATGGAGACTTTAATGTTGTTACATAAACTTTGGGAAAGTAAGGTTTCATGGTAAAGTATTCCCACAAAGGCTGTTGGCTATCAAGTCAAATTTTACTTCGAGATCAGTAACGTTAGTTGATAGTGTGTCAAAATCCCTACTCATTTTTCTAGGATACAGTAAACAATAAAACTTGGACCAGCTGGATATAACTACTTTTGTCGCCTCTAATTAATATTAAGACAGCAAACAAGAACCAATCTTGTTCTCTCTAAGACCATAATAATCATTGCAAAGTCATTACAAAACGGATAATATGACACTTGTAAACCAAACATATAAGTGTGATATATGTTTCATAACCCTAATCATTAGTAATTTCAACAGTTTGTGTTCTTAGTCTATGCTTTATTATTTCGGGAAATTTCAACATACCTTTACCTTTTGTAAGTCGAAAAACATTGCTGTACATTAAGAATTACACTTTTCAGAATGAACTAATATTTTAGACAATAAAACCTAATACTTTATGCCTCCTGAAGTCAATTACCACTAACTATGCTGATAGACAGTGAAATAAAACAAAAGACTCAAAAATAGATTACTTTACTACAATTCAATAAAGGAATATGTACAACTTTAGGATTACTTTTAATTTTCAGTAATGTCTGTGGAATTAGAAGAAGCTAAAAAGAAAGTGTCAGCATTTCAAAAAGAATGTGATGATTACTTAGTAGTTATTGTTCAACAAAAACGTGAAGCTGATGAACAGGCTAAAGTAAGTGATCTTTTAAATTTTCAGTCAAACTACTACTGTGATGTGTGCTACTGATGTCGACAGATAGAAATAGTATGTCTCATCAATCGAAAGTGAAATACCTGGAGGTAGAAGGGTAAGAAAACCAAAGAAAAGTGAACGAGAACTTACCTTCAAAGCACGGAAGATGTTTAATATCAGAATTGAAAATAAATAAAAATATTACTGTGAGATAGTTTATTTATCAACATTAAGAATTATCATGCGAGTAAACTGTTTTCAAATCCTTACACTTTTACAAACAAACTGTTGACTACCTATCAACAAAACAAATTTCTATACTACATTAGTTCACTGAAACCAGGGACATTTTGAATTTGATTAGTTTATTAAATTTTGTTGTCGAAATATAATCTAAGTTTTAATGAACATTAAGATTTAAACATGTGTAGATCAATCATTATTAGATATGGTATAGTTAAGACTCAGTGATTAAAACACCTAGACTTTTAACAAATAAATTGAAGATTGAAAATTGATCTTCCCTTCTCTCACTTATTTCGTTTTGATACCTTAAATAATACTACTTATGATCAAACTATAGAAATGCTGGCTCAAATCTTAGTATATAAATATGGAATTGGCAAGTGAATCTTAGTAATTTATCTAAACAGATATTATTGACAACATTGAAATCGTATTTTTTTAACCTTTAACTATTATTTCTAGTCTGTTATGCAAACTCAAGAAAAAATTAAAATAGATGAAGCTAAATGTTTACATATGGCTGAATTAGCTCAAGCTGATTTAGCACAAGCTATGCCAGCTTTAGAAGCAGCTGTACAAGCATTGGAGTCATTAAATAAAAAAGACATCACGGAAATTAAATCATATGGCAAACCACCTCTCCTAGTGCAAAAGGTTTGTTTGTTGTATTTTTGTTTTCATTAAATTAATGATCTAGTTTTATTGTAAGCAAATAAGTTGGTATTTTCTTTATATTTTAATCCCGGAGATGAAAATGAAGAATAAAATCTTTCATGTCTTGGGTCCGAGTCCGATGTGAGGCATCATGAATGAACATTACCGAGTTGTCCCATCCTGGGACGAAACAGTCGCCCAGTGCTTCCAGGCTTTCAATGGTGGTCTAAAATTGGTGAGTTTATGATCGCGATAAAAACTCAGCAATGCCCACAACCTTATACCAATAAAAACTAGTGAACTGAATATCGTTCATTTAAGTGGATGAATTGACGGCATAGAAGATTGTCTTTGCTAGGTAATATTTAGATTTTATTTGAGGTCTGTCATTTTGCATTAATGAGGTCATTAATTCAATTTTTGTAAACTGTCATCACTAAGTTACGTTGCATCATCCCAGGCTGTCGATATAACAACCATAAACTCACTATATTTTTTTACCATATCAGTAAATGGGGTCGTTTTTAGTACCTTACTAACGAATAATTTGTTTTAATTACTTTTTTTTATCAAATCTGCAACGAATCTATGAATAACAGAAATCATAAAGATATTTATATAAACTTGATACTGACCCACAGTTATATACCGTTTATTAACTAAAGAGTTCGTCCTAAGTGATTTACTTTGATTGAAACACTTTATCGTCACAATACGAATCACATTGGTTTTTTAAAATAACTTGTCTACTTTAAATGTTACATGGACTTGTAAGACGTTTAGGTATTTTTAACTGATCAGTAGGACTTCGAATACATTTGCATAAGATTAGCGAAACAGATAAATGATTCAAATTGTTTGAAAAAAAACCAGTCATTAAGGATAGTGAACTGTCAATCTCTAGTATTTACTTCAGCTTTACATTTAGTTGATTCCATTACTGTTGTGTGTAGTCGTTTGTTTGCTTCAACTGCGGTAATTGATGATTACGAAAAACTGAGATTATTTTAAAACGAACGAAATCTATTGAGACATTGATATGTCAGCAACTGACGCACACAACTGTTCAGCAACAGTCCTTAACGATGGAATCCAGGAAGGAGGGATTAGTATAGAAAAAACTGTTTTATCCGAACGAACTATGAAGGAATATTAACTTCCAGGTCTAATTTATGGATGGCTATATGTATATTCTAATTGTATAATTATTAAGTAGCTAGACTATATTTGCATGTATGTCTTTCAATTACCCCATTAACTACTCTTGTATGATTTGCCATTCTTAATTTGTTGCCAGTTTATTATTCATAACTTTCCCTACTCCGTCGTTGCGTTCTGAACTCAACGGACAGGACAGAGAGAAAAGCTACTGAGTCGAGGACCAATGAGAGCTTAGCGTCAACTCAAGGTTATTAGTGGTGCCTTTGTCACGTGATATTATTGAACGGACATAAGTCATAACAAAACTTGATACCTTATGAAGAAAACACCAAAGCGGAACAACATTCCACATATAGTAAAACAACAGGACCTTGAGATACAAGAAGGTCAGCAACCTGAACGAGACAACAGCTAATCAGAAAATAACAAAAGTAGTAAGGAAATACGAGTTAGGGAGATTTTATTTGTGGTTGTTCTTACAAGAAAGAATTACCGCGCAGCTAGATAACCTGAGATTTCCTTAACAATTCTTTTACGAGATCATCTGGTTTAAACGACTCAATCGACCCCCAATCGTAATGTCAAGTTGGAAAATAGTCTACAGTGTAAATAAGGAATTGCATTTGAGTTAAATATGAATTCTCCTTAGTCTTGTGATATTCATGTGGTGCACTAAGACTTCAATTGTCAGGCGACAACAATTAGGTTGAATGTTCATTCGTATTACTCACTTAAATTCACTTGTTGTTATCGTAACGATTAGCTTGATTTCTCCATTACTATTTCTGCTTAGTATAATTTCCACATGGTAAAATGTTTCTCTTGATCAAACCCCGATTTCATTACTTCTCCCTGCTATTCTTTATCTTGTCTTGTACAAAATGAACTCAAAGAGACTAAATTTTATTGTTACGAATTCATCTTTTGAAATACTTTGTACAATAACACTCCGAAAATTAGAATCAATTCCTTCCATTTTGATTATTGTATTTATTTCCACAAAAATGATTTTGTTTTAAGAGATTAAGAAACAAATTAACGTTTTCAGAAACCTAATGAGTCACATATTCTCCCAGTTACTTGCCTACAGAATAAAATATAAAGTTTTCTTTCAGGTTCTTGAAGCCGTAATGATTCTTCGAGGGGCTGATCCAAGTTGGGCTGAATCAAAAAGACAATTAGGTGAACAAGATTTTATTAAACAACTTATAAATTTTGATAAAGACAATATTAGTGATAAAACTTTGAAAAAAATTGGTCAGTATTGCTCACAAGATGATTTTCAACCTGATGTAGTTGGTAAAGTAAGTATAATTATTAATTATCATTGATACTGTCATTACATTATCATAATAGATAGAATGACAAAGAGGTAACTAAATGAAATATTTGGCTTCAAACCACTCTATCGTATCAAAACCAAACAGGTGTATATTCAGTTAGTAACTGAGTTAGATAATGATATAAGTGTAAGCGTTAATCATAAGTAAAGGTGATATAAACCTAGATAATGGTTGATAATATTCTACCAACGACTACAACACTATGTAAAATGATGTTGAGATAATTCACTTTGTAAAATATATGACCAGTAGTCTGTATTTCAGATATTTTATTTTAATTGTTATCATGGTTTGCTTTAGATTTTACTTATTAATTAGGTAAAAACCCCTTTTTGACGGTCATAAGTTTCATTGTCAGCACTTAACCTACAATTGAATAAATTTGTCTGAAATAATGGAAATCAGTCAGTGTGGCATGATCAAAGTCAGTTCAGATGGGAATTTCATAAAATAACAAATACTGAACAACATGAATTTTTTATGGGATACACAATCATTTCATTCTTACAAGAATATAGTATATGTTAAGTTAATGTTCGTTTATGCTCAAACTTGTTTAAAATGGCTCATAAATTAGACCTATACTAACTTTTGAGGTAAATTTTTTAAGATACGGTTATGCATTCAGACCTCAGTCTATATTCTTCCGTCTCCCCAGCTCATTGGTATCAATAACTGTCACAAAATGTGCAGGTCAGATCAGAGTTTACGAACTTGTACTTGTTACATGAGCCACATTATTGAACTGACAAGACAGATTTATACTTTTTCTTGCAACAATTCCTTATTTAGTCTTTTTTAGAACTATTCGGGATTTCATTTCAACCTGTAGTGCAAGTTTTATAATGAAAAGACAAATATGGTGGAAGATAATTTATTTCTTGTCTCCTTAACCTTAAGCGACCAGATAAATCACTACATTTTTCTCCTTATAAGAAAGTTGTGATTCTGTTTATCCCCTAAAGGTAATTTCAATTGTCACACTGAATGTTAATCTTAGTTCATCATCATTCAAAATTAGAAAAGTAGATAAACTAATATGAAAGATGACATCTTTTATACTTATGAACTACACCAAGTGAAGTACAACAATTTTCACAGAGGTTTGAGGTTAAAGTTGAGTTTAAAATAACGAAGATCATTTGATTTTTTTTTAAATAACATTTCTACAAACAAATTGTTAACAATTAAAGATGGTTACTCATAATGCTTACAATTCTCATAGGTTTCAAGTGCAGCGAAATCGTTATGTATGTGGGTTCGAGCAATGGATGTTTACGGTCGTGTTTACAGAGTTGTTGAACCAAAGCGTCAGAGACTTAAACAAGCTGAAGAAGTATTACATGAGAAACAAGCACAATTAGCAGCTGCACAAGCTAAACTTGATGAAGTGAATGCTGAAATGCGCCGTTTACAACAAGAATATAATGAAAAGGTAGATCATTGCATTTATTTTGTAAAATTTATTTCAATTTATGATAGTACTTATTACTTTAAATAGTCTACATATATTATAACTAAATTTATCGTTAAATAGGTGACAGTAAGTTCTCAAAATTTACGGACGAGACTTATTGACATTATGATTAACAAATTAATAGTTACATGTTCAAAATCCCTAGTTTTACGATGCATTATGTAAGAATTATGATACCTAAGGAAATTAACTTGTAATTTTACTACATATTTATGATCTGTTAGTGGGACATAGAACAATTAAGAGCAGAACTTCAAATACTGTAGTATTTTTTTTCTTAATCCAGAACATTACTTAATACTTACTTACATAGATGTAATATTAAATACAACTTTTCATATCTATTTGATAAATTTCTGACGGTAAAATACAATCGTCGCAAAACTCAAATCACCCATAAAGGTGTAATTACATCTAGTTACTCAGTTTTGGATCACCACTGCTTACTTACTGACAAATAACCTGTTTACGTCCTTTCTTAAGTTCATAACATTTTAAAATCCTTCTTGTAACCTTTTATTTCTTGATTGTTAATTAATGAAACAACTTGAAACGATATATTTTAACATGGCGTTTACACCATTATGTTTATACACAATTTCCAAGTGTGATTGCTTTAAATTCTCTTCAATATTAGTATCGAACATTGGTCAGCATCCGCCTAAAATTAAATAACGATTTAACTAACCCAACTAATTTGTAATCCTAACACAAATCTAATTTAACTCCTATTACTTAATCCTGACATTATGAAATTATAGCCGATGTCGTTCGGTGACGAAAACCCCACATGGTTGTATCCCTATCTCATAACATTCGCACAACTCTTAATATGTCAAAATTAACCTTTTTTATGCTAACAAATAATAGAGTTTGTAAAAAAAATTATGAATTATTTCGAAATAACTGTTTCATGGCAGTTTTATTGCTTCTCGTCATTAATTGTTTTGGAGCTAGGCAACGCTTTTTGATTGGTTAATAAGTCTGTCAAGGTTGTCAGTATAGTATACACTTACTTCAAGAACTAGTTGGAATAAGAAATCCTGTTACCCGCTTAAGAATATCGTAATTTCTGATTTAAAAATAGTATTCTGGTGTATATGTTTGAGTATCCACAAACTTTGAGGGCTCGTCACAAGTCCTAGGTTTGATCTTTGATTGGGTCTTGTGTGCCAACTTTCAATGGAGTATGTAATCTAAACTAAATTCCCATTCAATTATTAACTTACTTTTCACTCCCACTACTGAAGGATTTATTTAACAGGTTTGTACGCTTAATATGCTTACTATTCGATGTTTATTTCACTTTTTCTCTTCTAATATTATTTTCTTTAGATGGAACAAAAAGAAGAGTTACGTAAAAAAGCTGAACACACGGAGAAAATGTTAGACAGAGCTAGTAAATTAGTCAGTGGTTTAGCTGGTGAGAAACTACGATGGGAAGCTAGTGTTGCTGATCTATTACGTAAAATTGATCTATTACCTGGTGATTGTTTACTAGCTTCCGCTTTCTTATCTTATATGGGTCCATTTTTAAGTGAATATCGTGAGAAATTAATTACTAATTGGTTGGAATTAATTAGAACTGAGAGTGTACCAGTAACTGATCCATTTGTCTTTACTGAATTTTTAGCTGATCCAACACAAGTACGTCAAATAACATTCATTATTATTTTAACTATTTTTCGTAAGTCGTAGAAAATTAAATGTGCGGGAGTAAATCATGTTTTAGGGTCATGACTTTTTATTAAATTAAATAGAAACCAAAAAGCCATATTTTTTAAATTGATAACCCAATAAAGTGGACATAGATAAAAGCGCCAACAAAAGGTATTTAGAGTGGAAGTTTTATATTTTTGTTTGATGATTAGCCTCAATTTACAGAGAACTGACAAAAGGCTTTAATACTGAGTTCTAAAGCTTGGATAAAGTTAGTCAGTAAGATGCAACCTCAAATTTCCAGTTCTAATCGTTCGGTATAGTATTCACAAACTTTGTTAGGCTTCATAAACTCTTTCTAATTTGTACCATTTCATTACTAACTATCTACACTCCATAGACTATTAAAAATATCTAAATTTATTCTAAGTATTGTAGTGAATGCAATGAGTCGATACAGTGTTCATTTTTCCGTCAATATGAAGAATATCATTTCTATGACTTACAATATATTAAACTAAATTGTTTTCATCTTAGTTTATCTTACGGCTTCACAGCTTCTCGCTAATTCCATACTAACTATTTTTTTTTTTCATTTTTTTACAAGGTTAGAGAATGGAATATACAAGGATTACCACGTGATACATTTTCAGTTGAAAATGGTGTAATTGTAACACGAGGTAATAGGTGGCCATTAATGGTTGATCCACAAAATCAAGCTTTAAAATGGATTAAATCAATGGAAGGCAAAGAATTACGAATAATTGACTTACAAACACCGGATTATATGCGTACATTAGAAATTGCTGTACAACATGGTCAACCAGTTTTATTGCAAAATGTTCATGAACAACTAGATCAGGCTTTAGATCCATTATTAACTAAATCACTGATTAAAGTTGGTGGTACATTATTAATGAAATTGGGTGATAAAGAAATTGAGTATAATGATAAGTTTAGGTCAGCATTGAGTTTTTCTTTATTTCAATCATGAAGAGATATTTTAAAAGTGCTACGTAAATTTTATTTACTGTCAATTTATATGTTTTCCATTTACTCAATGGCTTACTCAAATGTTTAGTTTAAACGTCTGGCGAGACTATAATCTATAGACGAACCAATCAGATATAAGATAATGAGTCTTGGATTTTGGCGCGAAATTCATTCATACATTTTAAAAATATATCATTTTGGCATTTATAGCTGATATCAGTTCGCGATGAAAACCATAAATCTAATTTCTAACCCTAACCATCAACTGTGAATCCTAATTCTAGTTCATTGCCCTGGTTTATGACCCTCACTTAGTCTTAGTTAGTAGGACATTCTCAAGGTCATTTCGGTTTCGCTCAAACGTCGTCCATAAATTACAGTCTCACCAAAAGTTTATTTAAAGGTTTTTCTATTCACTTAACTGTATTATAGTTTTTTATTCAAAGTCGTTATCATTTATTTTGATTTGTCTGACTCTATCACACTATAATTATCGTCACTCATATATTGCCTTTGATTTGTGGGTTATTACGTATCTGTTTGAGTAAGTTTAATTATTTATTTGGGTTTTGTTTTAAAGGTACTTAACGATAACCATTATCGTTAATGCTATTCTCACTTTAGTTTAAATTGGACATTTTGCACCAAGTTGGAAGAACAAATAACTAGTGTAAGGAATATAAAAATGTCTGAAGAACTTTCATGGAATTTCTACTATTATTTTCAATTTCTTGACAACAATCAATATGTTTATGAAGATTCATACTGATCAGTAGTTGCCTGAGATAAGTTTATCATGTGAACTTTGAAATAGAAAATTTGTCCTGAAATTTTGTACTCTATTCAGATAATTATTAATAAATATAATCAGAAGAGGTTTGTGGAGATTTTAGAAATTTCACAGATTGAAATCATGAGTCAATTGAAGATAGACCACCATGGAAAACCTGGTTTTCCATGGTGGTCTATCTTCAATTGACTCATGATTAATAAATATAAGGTGTTTCATACAGGACAGTTCAATTATCTTACTTACCAATTCAATATTCGTTATCAGATTATGTGAATATTAAACCGTATTTACATCATTTTAAACTATTTTTCTTTAAAAGCAAATGAATTAAACTAAATTTGATATATTTTTAAATTCTAGACTTTATATCACTACTAAACTACCTAATCCTCATTATACACCAGAAATATCCTCTAAAGCGTTAATTGTAAATTTTGCTGTAAAACAACAAGGATTAGAAGCACAATTGCTTGGTATTGTAGTACGTAAAGAACGTCCTGAATTAGAAGAACAAAAAGATAATTTAGTCATAGGGATTGCAGCTGGTAAACGTAAACTTACAGAATTAGAAGATGAAATTTTAAGACTGTTAAATGAAGCACAAGGATCTTTATTGGATGATGAACAACTTGTAAATACTTTACAAACATCGAAAGTTACATCATCTGTAAGTCATTTTTTGATTAAATATTTTATTACTTATTGAGCATATTATTCTGTTGATTGAATTCATGAATTATTGCTAACTTTCGCTTGATTCGTTTTATAAGAAATATTGTTGTTTCATTTGTTTAACTGAAGTTTTATTACTGAATACTAATGACTGATAACAAAAGTAAACTTCATAATGTCCTAATAAAATCCTAGAGTACTTACTATATATCGATTTATATTTGAGAGTAAAAATATAATTGACGTACTGTAGTGAACAGAACACCAGTGGGGACAATCGAATGTACTTAACACAAAATTACAGGATTTGTTAATAAAATCTAGCAATCATAAAGTAAATGCTTAATTTGCAAAATGTCCATCAATTGTCTCAAAATGACTCAGACTTCATTGTTCTTGCATTTTCATACAAATCGCATTCTGTTTCCATTCTTTACTGTTCGATCCTCTTTTCTCTCTGCTGCTAGACATTCTGTTCATGACTAAAATCAATATAAGTAGCACACACCACAGTACTACTAATTCACTGAAACTGAAGGATAGTAAACAACTAACTCCATCCGAATAGTTCAGGAGAAACTCATCTATAAAATGAATGAAGAAATTTAATATGCCCTAAACTACAATGGTTTTCCCATATTTAGTTAATTGTTCACAAAAACTGTATTTCACTTCAAGTTCAAATAGAATACAATGTAATATAATATTAATAGCGTTTTACTCCATTATGATACTGTTAAGCTAGTCAGGAATAAAAATATTTTTTATGAAATGAGAAAGTTTGTATTACATGAAGCTTCTGTAAGACTGATGAGGATTGTTTCACTCATTTAGCCTCCTCGATGAATCCATCACTAAATCTAAGGTACACTAATACGTTCATATATATCAGGTAGCTATAAAACAAAGGTTGGAAGTAGAAAGTATTTGACCTTCCATACATTTGCTCATATTTAATAAAACCTGAAAGTTTTATTACCTATATTTTTGCAAGTAACCGGTTTACAAGTACTGTTTTGACTGTTTTTCTGGATAGATTGAATTTAGTCTGGTCCTTGCCTACTGTTTCTTTTTGTATGGTTATTTTTTAAATTACTTTTTCGCTATCACTTTATTTTATTTTATCATTAACTCAAATTATGGGATACCTTGAAGTAACTCAGCAATAAGCTCCATCCCATATTTCATTGTTTATGTAACTAACATGAACATTTTAATATCATGGTCAATACAAGATATCGATCATCTATATTAGCTTTTAATTTTGACTAGTTGGACCATTGAATCTGATATTTAGTAAATAAGTAACTTCCATGGAATATTCAAGCATCACTAATGATGGTTTACTATATAATGTTTAAATTTAAACGTTTATTCTATGATGTTGTCTTCTGCTTTAGAGTATTTCTCAATATGAAAACTGAATTCTGTTTACTTTCTACCATGTTCATATTTTGTATCATGAAGTATTTCAACCTTTTTTTTATCGTCAGGAAGTCACTGAACAATTGAATGTTGCTGAAAAAACTGAAATACAAATTGACAAAGCTCGTGAAGGTTATCGTCCATCTGCACAACGTTCTTCAATTTTATTCTTTGTATTGAATGATATGAGTCGAATAGATCCCATGTATCAATTTTCTTTAGAAGCATACATTGATTTATTCACTTTAAGTATTGATAAAAGCCCAAAGTCAACAAAATTAGATGATCGTATCACAAATTTAAATGACTATCACACTTATGCTGTGTATCGTTACACATGTCGTGGTTTATTTGAACGACATAAACTACTATTTTCATTTCATATTTGTTTAAAAATACTTGAGTCAGCTGGTAAAGTTAATGAAGATGAATATAATTTTTTTCTACGTGGTGGTGTTGTATTAGATCGTGAAAATCAATTTGATAATCCATGTACAACATGGTGTACAGAACAATGTTGGGATAATATTACAGAATTAGATAAATTAGCTAGTTTTCATGGTATTGTTACATCATTTGAACAATATTCAAGAGATTGGAATTTATGGTATACATCAGCTGAACCAGAAAATAGTTCTTTACCTGGTGAATGGGATAATACATTAAATGAATTTCAACGTATGCTTATTGTACGTTCATTAAGACCAGATCGTGTATCGTTTTGTGCAACACGTTTTATTGTAAATAATTTAGGTAGTCGATTTATTGAACCCCCTGTTTTGGATATGAAACAAGTAGTTGATGATAGTTCAACTAGAACACCATTAATATTTGTATTATCACCAGGTGTTGATCCTACAGCTGGTCTATTACAACTAGCTGATAATTGTGGAATGAGTAAGAAATTCCATGCGTTATCATTAGGTCAAGGTCAATCACCGATTGCTACACGATTAATTAAAGAAGGTATACGTGAAGGAAATTGGATATTTCTTGCTAATTGTCATCTTTCATTATCATGGATGCCAGCATTGGATAAAATTGTTGAACAATTGGGTATGGAAGAAATACATACTGATTTTCGTTTGTGGCTTTCATCAAGTCCAAACGCAGCTTTTCCTATTTCAATTCTACAAGCTGGTATTAAAATGACTACAGAACCGCCAAAAGGTTTACGTTCAAATATGAAACGGCTTTATCATCTTATTAAAGTAAGTTATACTTTGATAAAGAAATTTAATTAGCATTGATTTGATTTAGTATATACCTATGTATATGTTTACAGTTCTAATTGGTGCAGGTTTATCTCGATATTAAAACTACAGAATTAGACCCTTTTACAAATCCCCCATAACAACTCAATTATCGATTTCATTTATTCTACAGAAAAGATAAGGGCAAATATTGAAACCAAATGCCAACGTTCTGAGTTGTAATAAACATTTTCAATCCTGATAATGATCACCTTTTTAAAATCAGTCTGTGACAATAAAATTTTTGGGAAATTTTGGAATTTATGGTGGCTGCGATGGTTCATCTAGAATCAAGCCACAAATAATTTATTATTTTTTCTTCCAAGAACTAAAAACATATATACTACATTTTTCAAAAGTGATCTCACTGCTCAGTCATATAAGATATATTGCTGTAGTCAACATATTCAAGTATAAAAATTTAAAATTGACTAGATTTTTAGAAAGTTCTTGAACCTGTTATTAATATAAAGGACTCCATCCGACCCTTCTCTTTTGAAATATGTTCAGGTACATCCAGCTGACGAATCCCGAATACGATGAAATGTACATCCTGGATTCCACTGCAAGTCACTAAATGTCTTTACTTAAAAGAATTTCACCTATTCTCTATAAATGTTAATCATACCGAAGCTTTCAACCACACGAATGAGATACGTGGGAAACGGAAGTCTAAAAAATAATAATTTTCTAGAGGACGGTTCTTTTATCTAGGAATAAAAATAAATTGATTACAAGCCTCAACTCGTGAGGTATCTGCAGCGATTACCATGTCTGTATGCCTGAAATGAGAAAGGCTTCCTGCAGTAATAACATAAAGATTCATTACAACATACGACAGCGTTAATGACAGCTGATACCTGTGTCTAATGTTAACTGTAGTTTACTAACAACCAAGATGGGAAATAAGAACATGCAAATATTAAAACTGTTAGGTTTAAACAAAGATTCAGCAAATATATGAAACTGGAAATGACTGTTCCTGTGGTTAATAGGAAGTAATATTAATGATAAATACATTAAATATTATAAGTGTTTACAAATAATTTATGATATTACATAACAAACAAATGCGTTACACCTCATACCTAGAAATTAACAAGAATAAAACTGTTTACTGATTATAATTAAGTAGTATGAAATAACATACAAGTAAGAATTTGGATGGGGGTAAACTAGGAACAGAATGTGCTAACGAACTTAACAAAACATTAAGTCAATGGACATAAATTTAATTTTTTATTCAACTTCATTGGAGTTGGTATTTTATTTCTATGAACTTAATTATATACACATACATTTACTTTACAGGAAGATCAATTTTCCTTATGTCAGAAACCAGAGAAATATAAAAAACTCCTATTTTCATTGTGCTATTTTCATTCAGTATTATTAGAACGCAAAAAGTTCCTTATGCTCGGTTGGAATATTCCATATGAATTTAATGATTCTGATTTTGAAGTATCTGAACATTTGTTAACAAATTATTTAGGCCAATATGATGAAACTCCATGGGATGCATTACGCTATTTAATTGCTGATATTAATTATGGTGGCCATGTTACTGATGATTGGGATCGTCGTTTATTAAATACATACATTAGTGATTATTTTAGAGATGAAGTATTGAGAGAACCATTTTATAAACTATCGTCACTGCCATATTATTATATACCAAGAGATGGTACATTAAATGCTTATCGTGAATTTGTTACACTTTTACCACAAATTGATCATCCAGAAGCATTTGGTCAACATCCTAATGCAGATATCACATCACAAATTCAAGAGACACGAGTTCTTCTAGATACATTGCTTTCATTACAACCTCAAGTAAGGAAATCTTGTTCATTGTCTATTGATATGACTTCATTATAATCATTTTTATCATGAAGTTAAGGATATTTACAATTATTATAGCGGTATTTTTATCCTTGCAGTTAATCAAAACGAATAAGATCAAAGCAAATTTTTCAGAAATCTCAGTAAAAATAGTAAAAGAAAAAGCGTTCTTCACGGTACAGAAGTGTCCTTAAAGTAGATTCGACGCGAGGTTGTGGATATTAGTTTCTGTAGCTTCTCATTAAAATGAAACACGCATCTATTACAATTTTGATTCTTTTACTAATGCTAATACAAAACAAAATGAAACAAAGAAAATTTTCTATTGTCTCAAATTTAATTTTTGTATTGACTTTTGAATTTGTGAGGAAAAAACAATTTTTGGAGTAAACTATTCATGTATCTAAAATTGATACTGCATAATCGAATTTTTGTGTCTTAATGAACTTTTCGATTACAGTAATTTATTCAAACTGTAACAAACTTGGGATATACAAGATATTTAAGGGAGTAACACCAGTGATATGATGGTTCACTCAGCATTAAGTATATTCACTAAACCTAAAATAACCAATATTTTTTTACATTTTATAAGCAGTTTGTAATTTAAATAGGATATAATAAATCTCAAAGGCAAGTAACTGATTCGCTAGTAAAAATAAGAACTTATACCATTACATAAAATCTATAGTACGTCATTAATTGAACTACAGTATAAGTTACTATCTATTTTAGAGGCTGATACATGGGAGTTACAAACTTGACATCTCTCTAAATCATTTTATCATATAATCGAAGTTTTCGGGATCCATTCGTCTATGTGATTTAAAACTATACTGAATTTCTGACGTTTAATTATCCTGTTTCATAATCCTTTCGTAAATGTATTTTCAGGTATCACAAGGTACAGGTGTTTCACGTGAAGAAAAAGTTCTTGACTTAATTGATAATTTACAAAAGCAGTTGCCTGGAGATATTGATTTTGAAGGTACTATGAAAATGTTTACAACAGATCACTCACCATTAGTGGTTGTTCTACTGCAAGAAATACAACGTTACAATCATCTTCTTGGTTTAATACGCAATCAACTATCAGATTTAAGTAAGGGTATTCAAGGCTTGGTTGTAATGTCATCAGAACTCGAACAGATATTCACTTCAATTTTTGACGGACATGTTCCAAAACAATGGAGCAAGGTAAATTTACAAATCACGAGATTTATCGGCATTATCTGATATTGTGCATGTATATACTTGATTATCCTAAAACTAGTATATATAATTATTTCTTCATTTATAATCATCCTAGCTACACTTTGAACTTTAGCTTCAACCACGGCCTGACATAAGGACTGATCAGCTTCCTCCTTACTAGAGATCTCTCTGCCGTGATCACCGGCTATGCCACACTAAACTAAATCCAGGACACCGAGGTCTCAAATTGAGTACAGTATTTTTAGGGCACTAAATTAGAATCTGACTACATTAACGATTTTGATCAGTTCGCGATATTTTGAGATGGTTTTTTGAGTAATTTTGTTAGCATCTATCTCATTTTTTGCAAGGTTAAGTTCTACCTGTTGTGGTTTCTCGTGAACATCTCATTTCATCTTGGAACTAATCAATGGTAAACAGATTTTTATTTTAGGATAAAGGGGTTTGTGGATATTTTCGACTTAAAATTAGCTCCCATCACAGACTAATGGGTCCCAACTCATATCCCTGACAATTATTCCGTCAAAAGCCATTCATGAACACTCCTTATATGTTCAAAATCATAATGAAAGCACACTGGTAACCTTAGTGACTTAACTGTATATATTTTTTTCCTATGTCAATAAAGAATATCATAAGGTCGTGTACGAACGGCCGTCGTGATAATCATGATCACTCATTATCACAAAACTACAACTTATCCATTAACTTACTATTAGGTAAATTCTAAATCGTCCAGTTGTAACGGAGTGAATATTGTGAAAACTGTAATTTTTTAATTTCGTACGAACAAGTATTGTTCATACTTTGTTGTATCAGACGCTTGGACTATTGCATTTGTACACTTTTTTCATTTATTCGTTTTCATGCGGTATATGAACTGTTGATTTGTGTTTTACTTTCCTTAAGTTATTATTAATTAATTACGTACCCACTATGCAGTCTCGTTTTTATTTATGGTGTACGTTTGTTCACGCTGTAGTTTATTATTCATGTTGCCGAGTTTTTAGTCATAATAGTAATAGCACAATAGTGGTCTTATCTGCTTGTTGTGTCTCTTAACAAGAATAAGAGAGTCATGCTCCTGACACAATAGACGTTACTTCGGCCACAGCTAAAAGTTATCGTTACCAGTCAAAGTATATAATTAATCCAAGTAATGGATATTAGTATACGTGAAGGATAAGTTTACTTAAGGTAAAAAAGAATAATGCGGATTGGTTAGTTATATCGAATGTTATTAATTTATTCTTCATGAAATATCCGTTTAGGGATTTTAGTTTATAAAATTGTACTCTTCAAAGTTAATAAAACTATCTAAGTAAATCAAGGTCTCAGAATGTTTAATAGCTTCGTTTCTGCTACAAAACTAGACATGAATGTAAACCAACTGCAAAGAATCATTTTTTTCTTTTCATCGAGAAAATTATCTCGGATATTTCCAGGCTTTGATTCTAAATACTTAGGAGATCGGGTTTCATCGCATTCACCAATGCGGGAAGTAATCGTTGCACTCTGAGTTGAAAAGCAGCTTATCCCATTCTATACTAATCTTATTGTCAAAAGTTCGGGAAACTTTCGGGTTTGGAAGTATATGACAAATGTGTTGTAGAGTGATTCAAAATGAACAAATATAAGGACCAATACTATCGGCACATATTGTAAACTAGTTACATTCCATACAACTTAATTCGCACTTGAAATTCAGTACACAACTACCAGCTTAATATTACATAGTACAATAATTTTAAAGTTATGATTTGTTATTCCTTTGCTACAGATAACATAATTTTCTGTCATTTTTTCAAAAATCTATTTTAGACATATTCTTCACTAAAACCTTTAGGTTCGTGGGCAAGAGATTTAGCAGCACGTGTTGAATTATTCGCTAAATGGGCTAGTACAACACATCCACCAAAATTATTTTGGATTGGTGCATTCACTTTTCCAACAGGTTTTCTTACAGCAGTTCTACAAACATCAGCAAGAAAAAATAATATTTCTGTAGATAGTTTAAGTTGGGAATTCAATGTACTTGCTACAAGTGATCCTAATGTTTTAGTCACTCCAAAAGATGGTGTCTATATAAGTAATTTATATTTACAAGGAGCTGGATGGGATAGAAAAAATTATTGTTTAATTGAAGCTGCACCAATGGAATTAGTATGTCCAATGCCTGGTGTACATTTTAAACCAGTAGAAAATAAAAAGAAATCATCTAAAAGTAAAGTATACATTTTATTCATGAGTTGCTCAATGTTTCATTTACTTGATATGGATTATACTAACGATTACTTTTGCCTCACTCCTAGTAAACTATAAGCGTAATCTAGTAATATCTTTGCAAAAACTATTTATATCAGTATGGGGTTGTGGTGACTATTAAGTTTTTGATTGAGATCATGAACCGATTGATGTTAGACTCCTCAGCAGTGCGCATCCACGATCTTGTAGCGTAGTGTCGAGTCGAGATTGACTATAAACACCACTACAAAGGAACGCCCCCGGAAGCCAAATATCAGAAGGCAGTTAATGAACCAAGTCGAGATATATTTGCTGGCGATCTCGTGGTATCGAAAGGATACCGAGGTCGTGCCAGGATACAAGCTTGGTTACAGAACGTAACCGAATTCGCGCGAGTTCACAATCAAAGTGTAGGAATAATGGATGAACCGATAGAAACAATGGTACAATTTATAACAAAGAACGGACTTACTAAATTGCACCAATATATCAATTGTTTGTGAAATATCGTTATTTATTATGAGTATTATCGTTACGTTCAATAATGTTTGTGAGATAATGTACGCGTAATTAAAATAATGATATAATAAGTCCACAATTATGATTATAATCCAGATGATAATCCGAATTGAAGGAGAGCGTGTTGAATTTTCAAAATTAGTTTGTGTTTGCACGTTGGGATCACCAATTCTGTGGTGGTCGGTACTCAATATAATCCTTAAACTTTGTATACTTTTCGTCCTGATAACAGTCACTAGATGACGCCCCAACTGTGTATTAATCAGAAGGCGAATACGAAGCGTTGATTAAGTTTATTATTGCACCACTCATAGATAACCCAAATTACAGGTACGCTAAGCAAGCGTGAAAGAGTGGTGCTGAAAATCAAGCAGCTGAGCGAGTCGGCCAGTCAATGAACAGGATTAAAATGTATATATATATATATATATAGTGTTCGCCAGTTAGATGTTAGCAGTTCAGTAAATGAACATCTGAATAGTGTACATTCCTTTCGTTGTATATTGCCAGCAACTACATTGTCTATTATCGAGTTTTTTATAACTTTGACAACGAAAGGTTGTACACTTTTTAGAAACGCAGCAGGATAGGTTATACGATTAATAAACATAATGGTATATTAAAACAAACAAAAATAGATAACTTGTTGAAATATCTGGATGGCAGGAACAGGTAGTCCAGATGCTCAAGCAGGCCGCCCTTTATAGAATGAATATGTGGGTAGGAAGTAATCAATGCTCAAGCATACATATTCATACAAGTGAAACAATAATAAAGGTAAAATGCTCTAGATAAGTTGTTATTGTACGGATGACTCTGTCTGTCAAATAAGTTAGCAAAAGGCTTAACCAAATTGCATATGAGATGCTATAAAATCTTATTTTTCTAGCTATTTGTATATCACAGGCTTATAAATTGATTTCAATATTTGTCAAGACTGAAATATTTCTTTGAATGAAATAATCTTCGTCTTATAATTCGAACTTATCGTGAATATTATGATATCGTTTTTAGCTTGATTATGAAATGTAATTTGCATTGACAGTTTTATTTCTAACCCAGAGATATTACGATGATAGAACTTTGAGTAAAATCAAAACTGTATCTATTGAATATCACTACACAACGTAATACAGTCTTCGAGGCACCAGTTTACTTATTTGTAAAGATTTACATTGATTACTATTTCATTGTAAAATATTTCTGCTTTTTTTCTAGATATTTATGTAGCTCCATGTTATTATTATCCGAATCGAGCTGGTACAACAGACAGACCTTCATTTATGCTTGGAGTAGAACTAAAAACCGGTGAAAAACCACCTGAACATTGGACTAAACGAAGCACTGCACTTCTGATGAACTTGGACGTCTAATATTAAAAATCATGACAATGGAGTGTATCTATAACTTTTTTTATGTCATTATTTCTATATTCTTTAGGTAATTGATAAGACCTCATCTAAGAGGTTATTTTTGCTGTTATTAAATATAATTTCAACAATGTCCAAATATACTATAGTATTTGTGTCATTAAAAGTTATCTAACTGAGAGCGAAAATTCACTTGTTGTTTTACTTGTATCTTCTCATTGTTATTTAGGAATGCAATTGATCAATCTCTTTTTGACATATGTGCGTATCACCTCGATATAGCCTTAAGTTACAAGCTTTTCAAGCAAAGATGGATAGTAGCTGGCAGTGGAATCCAGGGCAAGTCTCAAATAGAACGAAAAGCGCATCCTGGACTCCAATGCTAGCCATTATCCATCTTTGCTTAGTTGAGAGTGATTTTCGTCGTTTTAGTTGTATGTTTACTTATTGATTTAATGACAGTTGTAAAATCCACGATTAGTGATTATTAACATTTAAAATGGCTAATTGAACATAACTGCTTCTCGCTGTTTCTACTGTCATTCTATTATCACTGATCGCGTCAAGTGTATGTAGTTACTAAGTCGCTTAACACCCATAAATTGCAATGGATTATATATTTAATTTCCAATAGTGAAAACAATGCAATTCGTACATACATTTATGGACCGTCTTTAGTTAAACTGCCTTTGGAAACCAGGAAGCACTAGACAGTTTTTACTGCTTAGGACTGGACTACTCAATAATGCTATCCAAGATCACACTTGGCAATAAACTTAGAACCTTCGTGTTTAGAATCAAACACTTGACCTTCAAACCACCGAGTTGGTATCCCATTGTTAAGATTCATAATTTCAGCCAACCCCATTAACTAACAATTATCCAGTTTTTATCAGCGATTAAATGTGAGAAGTGATACCCAGAGTTTTAGACAAGGAGCAGCTAGTGAGGTCCAATCAAGTCGGACGTGAAACTCAAGGCATTGGATAATAGTCGCCAATTTTGTTGATTGCCTTTAGTTAGGAATGTAAACCACTAGATCGTGCTTATCGTTAAACCGGAAGGTCGTGATTTTTATTTTTGATATGGTAGTGAATGAACACTGCTGAGGGTCGTCACAGTGGCACGAAACGGATGACCGATGTTCCAGTTTTCAATAACTATCTAACCAAAATCAGATCGTAGTGTAGAACTGCATACTTAGCAAGCCCCCACGCTGACAGTTCACGGATTTTCTTAATAGAATGCTTGTTATTTAATGTAACATAGGAATTCATACTACGTCAATTCCCTGTGAAATACGCTTTATTGACTATTCATTATAACGGTTGGTTTTCCACGTTTACATGTATGAAACATTAATTTACCTTGAACGAATATCTACACTAGATCCCGACCGTTGTTGCTACCTTGACGTGGTGGTCGGGCTTGCCTATCGTGATGAAGCAACCGAGCTATACTGGCTGGAACAACCGTTCCTCAAGGTCCTACCATGTCAGACAGGTCGGTTGAAGAGCGGTAAGACTAAAAGCAACAAACCCAAGGTCCGAAGGCGAAGTCGTACTGCTGACTGTACAGAGGTGTGACAGCAGTAAGGTGTTTCCCTCGGACAACCAGCATAACAGCGATGCTGCCTTCCCACAAGGAGGGGTGGGGTTAGAAAAGGTCGACCCTAAAAATGCGCACCTCACCTTACCTCACGGATTTCCGTCTCCGGCGGTAAGGCCCTTTGAAGAACGGAGCTAACACGTCAAAAACCTTCCGCAAAAAGGTCGTGTGTGACCGGCCTCAAGCAGTTGCCCGTTGGGCACTGCGGTCACGCTCTCAGGTCACTGAGACCGCCTCTAATCCAATTTCCTTTTCAGGTACCTCCAGAAGAACCCTTCCTCGGTGTGGGCAACCGGGAAGTGATAACCGCCCTCATACCTCTAACAGCACCCAAGACCACTGTATTCATAATCAACCTTCCTCTTCAATTCCTATTATTCCTCCTACATCGACTTTCAACCCTAAACTTCCTCCTTCGGCTTCCTCCTCAAGTGTCACCATAGCCAACGATTCTAGTGCTCAAAACTCTGTCCCAGGTCTACTGAAACCTCGCTCCAAACTACACATTGGAGCTTTCAACGTACGCACTCTATGTCAAATCGGTCAGCAGGCTTCCTTAGCTAAAGCCCTAGAGTCTCTTTCCATTGATGTATGCTGTGTCTCCGAAACACGCATACAGTATTCCAGTGTGGTCATTCACTTGACCTCACCTCGGCAAAACGGAGAGCCAACGAGATACACCCTACGTGTATCTGGTGTCCCGATGGCCAGTTCTCGTGGACTGGCAGGTGTAGGCATAGCACTAAGCATGAGGGCGGAACAAGCACTGCTAGAGTGGATCCCCGTCAACAGTCGCTTATGTGCTGTTCGGCTAAACGGCTCCGTAAAAACTCGGAAGGATAGGGACACACGTCGTCGCCTTTTCGTCGTTTCTGCCTACGCTCCCACTGACTGCAGCTCAGATGATGTGAAAGATGAATTTTACAGAAAGCTGTCCGAACTTCTTCAGAAAGCTAAACGCTCAGACATAGTACTCGTAGGGGGTGACTTTAATACTCAGATAGGTAGCTTAAACCAAATAGAAAGGCATTTAGGTGGATATTTTAGCATTCCGGCACAGCGAACAGATAATGGTGACCGTCTGCTGCAACTGTGCTCAGACAATCGCTTATTTTTAGCAAACACAAATATTAAGCATAAGGAGAGACATCGTCTAACGTGGCGACCGCCTGCACCAAACCAGCGATGGACTCAAATAGACTATATTGCCATCAGTCATCGTTGGAGAGGGTCGGTACAAGATTGTCGCTCATTCTGGAGTACCTGCTTGGACTCCGACCACGCCCTAATACGGGCACGCATCTGCTTGCGCCTCACTGGACGCAAAAAAGCCACAGTAAAAAGACCCATTAGAACCGAACTGAGTAGCGAGGAAACCAAAAGTAGGTTCCAGGAACAACTGAGGTCACGATTAGGTAGTTCTGAAGACGAGGTTGACCCAGATGTTGCTTGGAAAGATATACAAGCAGCTGTGGAAGCAGAAGTGACATCTATTAGCAACTTAAACCACAGAGTTTCAAAGAACCAGTGGATTTCTTCAAAGTCTATCATACTGATGGATTCTCGCAAACTCGTCCCATCAGGTTCCGAACATGATGAAGAGCGAAAACAAATCAGATCTAGGTTAAGAAAAAGTCTAAGAAACGACCGTGAGCAGTGGTGGGCAACGAAAGCAAAAGAGATGGAAAAGGCGGCGACTATAGGGAACACAAGACAGCTTTACAGACTAATAAAAGAAACTGGAATTAATAAGTCAAGTGTAAGTGAGATTATATCGGAAAAAGACGATACACTCATCTGCTCCCAGTCCAGGCGTTTAGAACGATGGGCGGAACATTTCAGAGAACAGTTCAGCTGGCCTTCAGCTACTCTACAACTACCCTCCATTCCCAGACAGTGTGAATGGAACATTGAAGTAGGTCCCCCAACTCTTGCTGAAGTTCAAAAGACTATAGTTAATCTGAAACGAGGAAGGGCAGCTGGTCCAGATGGATTGGCTCCAGAGGTCTTTAAGGATGGTGGTCCAATTTTAGCGATTAGGTTGACTAATATTTTAGCTAAAATCTGGGAATTAGACGTTATTCCATCTAACTGGTCACAATCACTTATCGTCCCAATATATAAGAGAGGGTCAAAATCATCCTGTGACAACCACAGAGGGATTAGTCTAACTAATATAATATCTAAAATACTAGCCTCGATAATTATCAGACGCCTAACTAAGACTCGTGAACTGCAAACACGAGAGAACCAAGCTGGCTTTAGACCTGGTCGTGGCTGCACCGACCACATATTCACCATTCGTCAGATTCTAGAACACAGGCATACTTATCGGCGTCCGACAATGGTGGTCTTTCTCGACTTAAAAGCAGTATTTGACTCGGTAGACCGCGAGATTCTGTGGCAGTGTCTGTCATTGAAAGGCGTACCCCAGAAGTACATAAACCTTGTGAAGGCTCTTTACTCGAACACTACTAGTCGAGTCAGAGCTTATGGCGAACTGTCATCTACTTTTGCAACCTCAAGTGGTGTCCGTCAAGGCTGTCCACTTTCCCCATTTTTGTTTAACTTCATCATAGATCTACTGATGGAAATAACTTTCTCGTCGACTGAGTTCTCGGGTATTGATCTCCTACCAGGAGGTCCACTTATCGACTTAGAATACGCAGATGACATAGTCCTGCTTGGTGAAGACGCTGACAAAATGCAGAGTCTTCTGGTAGCACTAAGCAACAATGCCAGAATGTTTGGGATGCGCTTCTCTCCCTCTAAATGCAAGTTGTTGCTTCAGGACTGGTCTCCGTCAACACCTGAACTAAGGATAGGGAGTGAAGTAGTCGAACGCGTTGACAACTTCACTTATCTTGGAAGTCTGATCAGCCCTAATGGGTTGGTATCGGACGAAATCTCAGCACGGATTCGAAAAGCTCGATTGGCTTTTGCCAACTTGCGCCACCTATGGCGAAGGCGAGATATCCGTCTATCAATAAAAGGACGAGTATACTGCGCGGCAGTCCGTTCTGTTTTAATTTACGGCAGCGAAACATGGCCATTAAGAGTAGAAGACACTCGTAAGCTACTAGTATTTGACCACAGATGCCTTAGAAGTATTGCTGGCGTCTGCTGGGATCACCGGGTAAGTAATAGTGAGGTTAGACGCAGGGTATTAGGGAATGATGGTAAATCAGTTGATGAGGTTATGAATCTTCATCGACTGAGATGGTTGGGTCACGTGTTACGTATGCCTGAATACCGATTACCACGACGTGCAATGCTATCCGGTACTAGAGATGGTTGGAAGAAAGTTAGGGGCGGCCAAAACAAAACGTGGCATCAGTGCTTGAAGTCACTAACTTCTAGTCTGAGCCATGTTGGTAGATGCAGACTACTTGGTTGGGTCCGCGTGATTATCGTAACCAATGGTTGGAGACTCTTGGTGACATGGCTCAGAATCGATCACAATGGCGTCGGTGTATACACTCCCTGTCTTCCCTTAAACTAAGAGATTAAAATCGCTTCATATCTTTCTTTCTACGAACCAATTCTTTCTTCTTGTACTATATCTCTATAAGCAATCTT